ATGAACGTGGTTATAACTAGAAATAAAAAGTCAAAAATGAATAAGAGATAAAAGGAAATAACAGGATTAAAGTAAAAAAGAGAAAACTTAAGAACTTCCAGCTGCTAATATCAATAATAATTTGTATGTACTGTAATACAAAGAACAAGCAGTGACACATGTAATGTGAACTGTATCACACTAAACAAGCACATTTACTGGTATCTACTCATAACAAACATGGCCGCTTTATTATTTCAGTGCTGCCTGTCTGTGCTGTTCAAACAGCCATTCCATCATCCAGCTCAGAAATAAATCAAGTACACCACAATGTAAGCATTGGTTATTCAAATGGGACTCTCAGATAACACAGAGAAAAAGCAAACAGCTCGCTGCCAAATGTGGCTCATGTAAAACTAATTATAACACAGGCTTTGTTTGCACCTGTGGAGACGCAGTGTGTGCACAAGCCTCTGATTCTGTTAGCCGCTGATGTGACGGCCAACAGGAAATTAGGACTAATAACTTTAATACTTTAATAACTTACTTCTGTCTTTGTTACTTTGCTGTCTACTTTCTAATTCTGGAGACATTAATAATAGCTTTGATTGAAACCTATTATTTATTTGTTTATTTGTTAAGATATTTCATGAAATATATGTGTGTGTGTGTGTGTGTGTGTGTGTGTGTGTGTGTGTGTGTGTGTGTGTGTGTGTGTGTGTGTGTGTGTTCTACATTTAAGGTCATGTATTTTGTGGTTTATATGAATTCTTTATTGTTTCACCGTATCGTCTTTGCTGTCTTCAGGTTGGGATCTGCTTGGATTAGAGCCACCATACACGGCGTCTTTTATCTGCATATTATTTTAAGCACATTTGTCATCTTGCATATAGACGTTTTATGTGGAATTAAATAAATAATTGCTCGCATTTGCAATCCAAATTATTTTTCCTTTCATTTGGAATTTTCACTGAGGCCAATAACGTCCTTTGTAAGGCCATGGGAATCAGTTTTATATTTTATATCAGGGGTTGCTGACGGAAAGAGACGTCTCTAAGTATTTCTGGTGTGTATGAGCCTCGTAGAGCTGTGCAGGCTTTGTCTGTACAGATGAGTCAGATTAAAAGCAGCCCACATTTAAATGAAAATAAAATAAATGAGTGAATGAGCAACACTGTAAAGGGTTTGCTGACTATTTATTTTTACAAGATAAATTTAAAATATAGTTGCCAGGCAAACATCTAATATTAAAATGTTTTAACCATTAATTAATCAACCATTGAACTGATTTTATTCCACTATTATTAAGTCAGCTAGTAAGTAAAATGTATAAAATAAGAGATAAAAAAATAAAACATATAACAATGTAAAGCAATAGAATAAAACAACAAATTAAATTAAATTAAAAACCTGTATGTATAAAAATGTCTTCAGCTGGTTTCAGTGGAGTCTGCACGACGTGAAGACAGTGGGAGTGAATTCCAGCCTTGAGTAAATGTGGCCAGCAGCAGCAGCCTCGTACCTGAAGACCTGATGTTTGAGTATGTCAGAGATAAACTGGGGCTGAGACCATGAAGGGCCCAAAAAATTCAAACTAAAATTTTCTGGCAACCAATGAAGAGAAGCCAAAACTCGAGTATATGCGATTTTCTGTTGGCGCCAGTTTAAAGTTCTGCAGTCTGAAGACCAACCAAAGCTCATTTATTAAAACATAAAAAGATAACAATAATAATAATAATCTTTCAGAATAACCAGAAACTGTATTTTATGCTGCTTGGTACCAGAAACAGAAGCACCTTTCAAACCTAATTATTTACTATCAAAAATGACTAAAAGTGTTTTGCTGCTGGAAATATTTGGTATTTAAAAAGTAAAACTCTCACATGTGGTCTTCTTTATTCAGTCCCATTCGGCCTTTAAAGAGACTAATAAAGCAAAATAGGATATTTCAAAGAAGAGAAAATTGAAGAGCCCTTCTTTGCATTTCTACTTGAATGTTCTTTTGTTTGACCCTTTATTTAAAAACCTTTAGACTTTGAATAAATTGTCATGCCAGTGATTCCCTGAAGCCTTTTACGGAGGGTTTCAAGGTGAATGGAAGCCACAACCACTAGTCCTTTTACTGACAAATGACTGCGGCCAAGCCCTTTCCTGGCTCGGTGAATTTGAAGGGGGTGGTGGCTTTCACCACAAACTTAATTAGGTTTGTTTATTTGGGTAAGATTTACATTCAGGAACCCTGTGCACATCCTTTATAAGGACACGTAAGAAAGGGCAGAATTGTTAAGGAGGGGAAGTTAGGACAAAATGTCGTGAGCAGCTTTGTTTATCGATCTGTGGGGTGCAGGCCATTCAAATGATGGCTGGTCAGGCCTTTGAATACCTTTGAAGGTCATCAGAGTGTCACTGCTCGTGCACAGAAAGTTCACATCAAATAAAACTATTTTTTCAAAAGACTGAAATTTGAAAAATAATCATTAAATATTTGATTTTTATTGCAAATCCTGTTGATTACATTTGAAAATAACCGTAAAACAGACGAGTTTTGTGCATATTTGTAGGATCTGGTGGATCTTATTTTTTATCTACTGTAAAAAATGAGAAATATAAACTTTCTAATGTGAAGCACATGCACATTTCTTCCTGTCAGCAGAAGACGGCCAAAAGGTTTTGGGTGTGTTAAAAAAAAAAAAAGCCAACAAGGCGTTAAAATAATTTACTTCCCTGAGTGGTTCTGAAAGCCTGACAGCACCAGTTTGTAGAAAGAGTCAGCCTGGAAGTGATCCCAAGGAAATATTTGGAATATATTACCATGCTGAAATAGGCTGTAATCGTTATTGATCGTTATTTTAATTCATTTGGATAAGATACACTTCATGTAAATGCTGACAAATTATGAACTGTGCTATGCAGAAAAGAGTAATACTCTGAGTTTAAATAAACAATGTTCAGTAAAAACAGCTTTATCTTTTCATAATGAAAACAAAACACAGTTTCTGATATCAATAGGATGCAAATGGAGCTTTGCTTTGCTGTGCATTATTTGCATGGCTTGCCTTTAAACTCTGCTATCGTCAGACTTGCTAAGTTGGTAAATGTAAACGTGTGCTGCAGTACTCAATCACTCTGGATTTGGCGTGTTTGTTTAGAGCCCAGGCGTGCGGTTCTTCACAGGTGCTTGTGTCAAAGCAGGAGGCCGGCTCGCTGAGGCATCCGCTGGTCAGTGTCTCCATCTAGTGTTCACTCCACAGACTGCATGCAGGAGCGCTTTCTTTAAACTGCTTTAATGTTACCACAGCAACAGTGCGCAAACACTGTGCTAAGATGTAGTCAGACTGTGACTGACAGCTGACAGCGACATGATCTCTCATATATTGTGGAGTTTTTAGCTCAGGATATAAAGTCCACAGAGGCAATGTTGTTGTGATTTGACACTATGTAAATAAAAATGAACTGAAGTAGTTTTTTAAATAAACTACAAAAAGTAACTAACAACATAAAGAGTTCTATGAGATGAAATGTGCAACATCTGCATGTTGTTAGATTTGATTTAATCACTTAATTGATATATTTTAAAGAAGACGATGCTTCAAGGAGAGGAGAGCTGTGCTGACTCAGTGCAGCAGTTTTGTCTGATTGTGGAAAGACAAACACACAGCGATGCAGGAAATACGTACAAGTGCACACAAGATGATGTATGCTGAGACGTTTAATCTCAGTTTAGGTTTAACAATGTCAACTTACTGTTTATCGGCTTTTATGCTTTTTCCATATTTTGCACTTTTAATATACCAGCTACGCCTCACGGATCCCCTAAAAGTGTGTTATTTGTTATTTGCTATCAGGAGAATTTTTATGTTCTGTTGTATGAATGTAAATGATATCTGCATGAAAAGAGGTTGCTTGTTTATGTAGATGTGTATTTATGGTTTTATGGAGGAAGAACAGCCAAGGCTAAGACTGATAGCATATTTTCATTAAATACAAGCAGCTAGAATAAAAGCAAAAAAGCATAATCACACTTAAAGCTTATTGATGATACAGCAGAGAGGAGCCTCACCATGACATGGAGTGTTCAGCATAACATTTGCATATTTGTGTTGACCTTTGAAATTGAATTACTTAAGATTATAATATGATTTATTATTATTAGTGGAATTTATGCTGTGCCCCTCTACAGACACCCCTCTGCATCCCTTTCTTCACATTTAAACTATAATCTACTCACACTCATATAGTACCTTTATAGTCTTACTGACCACTTTTAGACTACGAGTCAAATTCTAACCATATATTCATGTAGCACTTTATTCTATACAATTAAAGTATTTTATCTGCTACTATCCACATGGTGATTTAATGAAGGACTCTTATTGGTATTTTACTGTGAAATACTGACAGTAACAAAAAACTACTCATTTATTAGGATCCTTTCAGACAGTTTCCTTTAAAAGACAACTGAATGACCCACCACTGGCCCAAAGCTCACCATCCCACGGATTCTACGTTGGATCAGGCTTTGTGTCCATAAAGTTTGCTTCTGCATGCTTTTGAAGCTTCATGTATTAAATGTTAAATATGAATAAAACTTGAATTAAAACTTGAAACAATAAAAAGTGAGCTTGTATTTTCCTGCTGCAGTGACTAAGAACATATAAAGGCATACATACGTTACATACATACATATTATACACACAGTGCAGTGCATATATGTATAGTCTGTATGACTAATTGCTAATTACTCTGATGTTAAACACAATTATAAAAGCAAAGTATTCGTTTTTAAGTATTCATTTCTAAAGGCAGGGAGAAGAGCACTGACAGATGGACAGCATCAAATACGTTATTACAACACAAACCATGTTTGTAATAAACTTTTACATGAGCGGGATATTCGTCCAGGCTGCTGCTCTCAAAGTTACAGCACTGGTCACAGAGCGGGCACACGCCCAGAAACAACACTGCAAGAGTGACAGCGATTCAGCCTATCACCGTTTACGGTAGGTGGGACTTCCGGTGACATTGACAAATCAGTAATGGCGACACAAGAACAACTTAAACATGACAGCAAAACAACACCGAGGGGGAGTGAACTTATGGACAGCAGTCATATTTTGAAGAAATATTATAAAAATTTCATCTAATTATCTGCAATTTCAATCCAGCGAAAAGGTAAAACGACTAACGGTGGTTCGGTTTTGATGAATACTGAGGTGTAACTACTGTTAGGAACTGCTAACTGTCCAAACTTTCTAACACGGACGCAGTTCGCTACATGGAAACCAGAGCCAGCTAACGGGCTATGCTAGCTGACGTTAGCAGATGGCTAAGTTACCCAACGATCGAGCAAAGCGGCAGCGAAAAAACGGCCGAATTTAGGGCTTTTGTGAAACCGCGTGTCTATAAACGCGATACACAAGTTAAATTGTGCGTCTTTAAATGTTAACTAGGTCATGTCAGGTGCTCGACTTTCATCTTAACTTTGATTTTGTCTGCATATCCGTTATGGCCACCAGTTTTTTGGGGAAGCCATGATCCAATCAGAGTGGGCTCTACAGTTGATCGAGCTAACGTTACTGTAACTGTACAGGGACGGTCGGAAAACAGGGCAGCTGGTCCTCCAACAGCGTTTATCTACGTGGCGCTGATTGTTATGCATGTTTTTTGTTTTTCTTATAGGTGTTTATGACATCGCTGTGTTTTCTAACGGTGCAGATACGTTTTGCAGTCACTATGCAGCTCTATAAGTCAATCATGCTATGGCTGTTGAGACCCTGGAAATTTCTGGCTCATAGTGACACTTGTAAGCAGAACATAACGTCAGACACACGTCAGCTAATTCTTTCTATATAAAAGAATCCTTTCACGCAGCCTCGGGTTTTATTATTCTGTGTGCAGGAGAGCTTTGCCTTTAATTGTGCCCTCCTCAAATTTTGCACCCCTTTCCACACCTTCGTGGACAAAAATGTTCACGCACAAAATCTGCCACAAAATACAGCAATAATTTTTCTGCGTGTTTTCATAAATCACCAACTTTAACCTTTTTAAATGAGCAAGCGTTAAATGATTTTCAGAATTTTAACCCTTTAAATGCCGGTTTAAACATTTGAAGCACTGCATTTTGTTTTTACCCCCCCCCCCCCACACACACACACACACACACACAACACGAATTATTTTCCGTATAATGAATAGAATTGGGGATACGGACATGTCAAACATCAGCAACAAGTCTGGTTTGAATGGATTATTATTTTTTGTGTAGTGCACATGTATAATCATAATCAGCATACTTTATTAATTCCTAGGGAAATTATGTGGGTTACAGTTGCTCCAGTACAGTAACATTAACAAAAAGACTAGACTATGTAACAATACAATATTTTAAGATATAAGAAATAAGGAATAATACACACACAATCTGCCATAAAATCCTCATAAAGAAATACATTTTTCTGTCTTTAATTTTTCATAAATCATTAATCAACTGGACTTTCTCTCAAAGACACACATACGTCACATATTCAAAGCCTGGGTATTTCAGTTCATATTTGTTCATATTTCATATGTTCTGTTGTGTTTTCAGTGTTGTTGCAGTTTGCATAATAAATGTTCTCATTGATGAATTAGATGTTGTTTCACACACACATCCATACAAATCACTCCTGGGGCTCCCTGGTGGTCACAGGACTCCATAATACAACTGGCAAAAATACAAGAATTTCATGCATTGGTCTACTATGGGGAAATGGTTGAATATGGTGAAGTACAGTAAAAATGTCAAATATCACTGCTTTTCTTCCAAATGAAATGCTAACATTACAGAATGCATGGTTTTATACTGCAATGCAGAGAGATTAAAAAATGTTGTTTCAGTGAAAGTGAATGAGGCCTTTCTGTCCACGAAGGTGTCGAGAAGGATTATCAGGCACTACACAAAAAATACGAGTAATGAAATTAAATCAGTTTGACATGTCCAAGACTCTAATCACCACCAATGTCCTATTCCCATACTATTTATTATATGGAATCATAATCAGGTTTAACTGTCACACAGGCATTGAATTAACTCAGTGGCTGTTTCCGACATTCTTTGATCACTGATAAACATGATTGATGTTGTTCACAAACAACAGCTAACATATTAAAATCCATTTTCGGATGATATGTGCCTCATCTTGTTTTCATAGAATTAAAATCACATCAGTCATGTTCTTATTTTCCTCCTCTAGCTGTCTGGTACTGGGCGATATGGCCTAAAATCCATATCGCGGTATAATTTGAAGCGTGTGTGGTAACGATATATATCGCGATATATACGTTATACATTTTCTTCTGTATAACGTATTTTCCACACTGTAAGCACACTTAAAATCCTTTAATTTTCTCAAAAATCGAGAGAGTTCCTTATGTATGAATTCTGGTTGTGCTTACTGACCTCGAACCGATTTTGGCTGCAGAAATCTGTTAAAAATGTTTTAGTACAACTTTGGTAAGCCGCACTGCTTGATGGATTGTCAGAGCATTACGGCTGCCGTAGTGAGGAGCTTCGCGGAGTAATCTGGGTCCAAAACTCCGTCTCCTTCAGGTCCCAAAGTCAAATGAACACAGAGTTAAAAACGGTTTCAATTCTTTCAGCTTTAATAAAATGATCAGCGTTGCTGCTTTACCAGGTGTAACAATTAAGTTAGCTCGCTAGTTTCCACCTAAACATTTCATACCATGTTCTGACAGAGATTTCTGAAACTAATTCAAACGTACAGCTCTGCTATCACTTCCAACATAAATGAAGACAGAAAACTAAACAGCAGTGATGTTTGCAGGGTTACTGAAGTTGGACTACCTGGTATATAATGTTGTGCTACGTGATTGCTAGCGACACAGCTATGTTAGCATAACATTAGCACAGTGAAGCTGGAGGATGAACGCCAACTTTTTTTCCACTCGATAAAAGTTAACGTGAGGGATTCTGGTGGTCAGGGACAAATGCAATCGCATAGCAGGATGCTATACACGGGCCAAACTTCAGTCAGGAGAACAACTGAGATTATTCATCCACAATATGATGTTAGTTATTAATATACTGCAACAACATGGGAACAGAGCAGCTGCGAGAGAATTCAACATTAATGAATCAATGTTACGGAAGTGAAGCGCAGTTTTTGGCTTTCCCCGTATTTCAAAAGTGCTTCATCTCTTTGCTGTGACTGTCGTCCAGCATAATTTGCAGATGATAATGGTTGTAGCCGCTGCGATGCTTTCGACCAAAACAGGCGCAGCTTGATGACATCATCAACATGCGCTATCGCGATAGAGCGGTATAGTCAAAATCTCTGTCGTTGGCCAAATTTTTATCGTTTCTATCATATATCGTTTACATCGCCCACCCCTATCTGCTACCTTCACAGGTATTCAGTAGATGTCCGGCCCCTCAGAGACATCAGGTGGTATGTCGCATCCTGGCCCTTCTCCTGGGGCGGGTATGTCCCCAGGGCCCATCTTGGGCCCCAGCCCTGGACCAGATCCCTCACCGAGCTCTGTTCACAGCATGATGGGCCCCAGCCCTGGACCCGGAACACCCAATGCACCTCACAGCATGCAGGGCCAGGGACAAAGTGATTACTCTCAGGACAGCATGTACTCTATGCATAAGGTACAGCGTGCAAACAGTACTACAAACTATGTCATGATGTCATTAGTGCTAAAGGAAACTGTTAAAGTAGATATTTATATCACTCTGATGGATTCAGTTTTTTAAACCTTTTAGTGTGCTCACTAATAAACCGACCAAACTAAAACAAGGAAGGGAGGAAAAATTAGGAAGAAATGAAATACTTTATTTATGCTTTTATATATCACATAAATATATATTAGCTTAAATGAGGGAATACGACATATCTGTTGTTTGATAAATTGATACAGACATAAATAATAAATGTGAATTTTTGCAGTACTTTTATAATCTTTTTATACTCTTGAGTTCATGCAGTGGAGGGTGGAATAGATTTTTTTGTTATGGTAATTTTTAAAGATTTTGGCAGTTTCGCAGTAGAATTACTGATGTTACTTCTGCTTAGGCAGGCAGTTCATTTTGCTGCTGTAATAATCCCAACTTTGGAACTAATAAAGGCTGTCTTATTTTATCTTATCTTATTAATGTTTATTTTTGATACGATTAGAACCATCAGTGTCCTAAATTCAATCTTAAACTGGCAGGACAGTGTGTTTTTGCAGTTAACTTGTGTAGATCTGAAACATATTTTGCGTTTTCAGCCCATGGAGGGGATGAATGACAAGTCAATGGCAGAGGCAATGCACTTTGGTCACATGAAAGGTGTGGGGATGAGGTCTCTCCACAGTGGCATGGGACCTCCACAGAGTCCTATGGACCAGCACAGCCAAGGTTTGAAACCCAAGTCCTTCAGCTCTCTAAGCAGCCTGGTTTATTAACTTAACTTCATCATCCACTTGTGGTGTTAATGTTTCTCAGACATCTTCTAAATATAAGAGTTAATATTAAACAAGGAGGAAGCAGCAGTGTGTTAATGATTAAATAACCTCTAAGACTCATTGGCTTTTGCTCTGATCCCGAGGTTGTGACCCAATTCTTCAAGGCTTTGATGTGTGAAACCTCCTTTCTGTCCACTTAAGGGTACATGTCTCCCCACCCATCCCCAATGGGAGTCCATGAGCACGCTTCAAGTCCCATGTCAGGAGGCGGAGGTGGACCTACACCACCACACATGCCCCCTGCCCAGTCAGGCCCTATGATGTCAATGGATCCCCAAGGAGGCATGTCCAACATGTCCAACATGGGCCAGCAGGTGAGGGGGTCATCTGCTTTTAGTCCAGTACAGCTGCAGCAGCTCAGAGCTCAGATTCTGGCCTACAAGATTCTGGGTCGTGGGCAGCCGCTACCGGAAAACCTTCAGCTGGCTGTTCAAGGTAAAAGGAGCCTACCCACAATGCAACAGCAGCAGCAGCAACCACAACAACAGCCGCAGCCGCAGGCACCAAGTGCCAGTCCTTACAACAGGCCTCCAGGTACGATACAGATTTATGTTGGTACAAATATTTTGTGAGTTTCTTTGTTGTGAAAGTCTTTGAACATTAACAAGTAAAGATAAAGAAGAATTCTGATTTTGTTTTTGGTTCTTTGTTGTACCTTAATGTGAGACTGTAGTGTAGAAAGATGCCTCAGTCAAAATATAAACTGATCTAATTACATAGTTTAGTTTTGGGTTTACGTTGCTGTCAATAAATTGAGTAAAAAGCTTGAAATTGTCACTGAGCCCAGATTGAAACATTCATATTGAAGCTGTTTTGTCTGACAGAGAACAGAGATTTGTGTGATTAATGGTGTAATGACAGAAAAGAGGCGTGAAATAATTTTCCTTTACAGTTTCAAATTGTAACGGACATATTGTTGAACTATGAAATCTGTTATTGTGTTGAAAGGTATGCCAATGGCACCTATGGTGGGTCCCCAGTCGAGTCCCTGCCCAGCCCCGGCCATGCAAGTACTCAGTCAAAGCACAGGACCCAAGCCTTGGGCCGATGGTAAGTTTGGCAGGTGTATGTGGTAAACGCAGGGATCTGCATGTGGCTTCACAGTCAGTCCCACTTTTCATTCTGCCCAGTCTAATCCAACATGCAGTGCCCAACAGATTTTTCTGTCAAATGGCTTAAAGCAGAGAGATCCCCAAGCATTTACTAAAACTTCAGTTCAGCAGGTAAAGGTGAAGAGAATAATGGTGCAGTAGTAATATGACAGAAAGTATGACAAGAAGATGAAATATTTAGAATGAATAGTAAAACAGTCATAAATTAAAAACAGATACAGAACAAGAAAATCTCAACGTCCACTGTGGTCGATTTAAAATTGAACAAACAGAAAAATGAATCTGTCAGAAGCTCAGGGAGATCTTTCTGACAGCTAATTGCTCCCAGGTGAGGACACTGTTTCCTCTGTCATGAGCTCTGGCGTTGTGTTGGTCAGTTAACCGTGTATGAGGAACAGAAAAATTGACCTCCTGAAGCCAAAGGGGGAAAAATCCATAAGATGTGTGTAAGTGCCAGGTTGTCTGTAAACACACAGGTGCATTTACTGAATTGAGAAAACCCTGGTTGATGTGCGTGTGTTCATAACTTCCCATGTGATAATTTGGTATTTAGGAATAATTCCCAGTGCAGAGATTTTTACAGACGGTATTTTTACCTAACGTATCCAGTTCGTCCCTTTGGGGTCATCACAGTGGATCCATCTCACCCTCTGCACCGTCGTCTCTCACACCAATGATCTGCTCATCCTCTCTAACTACATCTGTAAACTTTCTCTTTGGCCTGAAAACTTTCTTGTGTCTTTATAATTCTTTGTGCAGCGTATTTCCTCTCTCTCCTCTGTAGATGTTCAGACCATGTCCTCTCCAAAGATCCAAGCTGAGCTGTCCCTCTGATGTGCTCATTTCTAAATTACTTCCACCCCCATCTTTGTCTTTTATGTTAGTGTCTCCAAACCATCATAGCAGGCCACTCACATCTTGTAAACCTTCCTTTTCACTCTTGCCGCTGTCCTTCCGTCACCTTGACACTCGTCTCCACCCTGCTGCACTCTTCTCTTCACCTCTTTTGTCCACTGTCAGTTGCTTTGAATGGTTGCCCCCAGGTATTTAAGCTCATTAAGCATAAAAAAACTCATGCAGCTTGTTGTGGTTAAAACCAAACTGAAAAAAAACGAAACGATACTGACACGTTAAATTTTTAAAACCTTTTGGTACTGAAGGAATTTGAGATTTTGGTCATGTGGGACTGGATGCAATAACCAGAAGTCTTTGCTCTCCAGGTCAGTGTGCTGAAAATCAAACCATTGCACAGAAGCAGCTCACTCCTGTTGCTAGTGGTCGCCCCTCTCCTGCACCACCTCAGGCCTCTGCTGTGCCAGCTGGGCCCATGCCGGGCAGTTCGGGGACCCCTCAGCCTCCTGGGCAGCAGGGGTCCGTAATGCTCCCGATACAGCACAAGCAGAACCGCATCACGCCTATCCAGAAGCCCCAGGGCTTGGACCCAGTGGGAATCCTGCAGGAGAGAGAATACAGGTAGACACATTCACGTATTCATCAGTGGTCTCACAATAGTGCAAAAACTTCACATCTACACAACTCATCACAATAAAGAATGAAACTGCCTGCATGAAATCAGTGGTAAAGAAAGTTTGAAGATGAATTTATGTGTCGAGGTCAAACTGCTGCACATAACAAACTGCATTGCTCTGCACATGTGACATTACATGTTTTTCACTTGAAACGAGTTTAAGTCACATATCCAAACTTTGACTGTGACACGAAGACTTTGCGAGCAGAGTCTGCGAGCGTTTGACGAGGGTTAAGGTTACAAGCTTTACCCGTATGAATATGATAACGTGAGAAACACTTTGTGGTGGAGCCCCTATGGCCTTTCTTAGAGGTGCCTCGCGTGCTCAATCACAACTCACTGTGATCCCCGCAGGCTGTGTATTTTTCTAAAAACAAAGATTGCCGAAGGAGACGTCGGGAAGCCTCCACAGACCTTAATCTTGTTTTGGCCCTAAGGCTTGTTTTTCTCTCCATAAATTTGATGTTGTTTTGATGATCTCTTCTTCAGGTTGTCTTGACCGAGCTGCATTGGTTTAGACATGACTAGAGAGAGACTTGTCCTCAGTCCACCTTGTTTGTCCAGTGAATACATTGTGAAATACTGTGCCTCTCACAGTGTTGTGGAACAGCACTGCATTATTGTCAGTGTTATGTAGTAATAAATATACTCCTGAGGCTGTTGAATAATCAAAACAACTTTAGATCTTATTGATTTAATGCAGTTTCCCCTCAGAAAGCTACCTGATGATACTACTAAATAAGTAAAGCTCACAGTGTAGCTGCACCATGGATGTGTGAAGAGGACCAGAACTCGTACTGCGGGCAACAGACCACCCAGAGATACAGGGGAAAAACTTTCAGTAAGACTACACAAAACCTGCAGGTTTTATGGTTTAGTTGGACCCAGAGTGTCATCATCTGTGTTAACATGCACCAAAGAAGCTAAAGAAGCACTTGGAAACTAGACTTTAAGCCTGAAAGATACTTATTGAGCAAACACTCAGTATGCACCTGAGGCAATGAGACCGTGTGTTGATGGAGGCTCTAATGAAGGTAACTGCAAAACAAAGCATACGTCAAAAAAGTAAGTGCCATGCTAGATTCAGATGTTGCAGATTGCTGTGAAAAGTGCAATCTGCATCCAAATCCCATCTAAATAGTGTGATAACATGAATCACATTCTATGGCCTCAACAGCTGACAGGTCTCATGGCAAATGGATATAATATTAAAATAATGGATATATTACCATCGTCCAAATTCCAGTGATGTAAATACCTGACAGCATGTGGTGGCCAAATGCCTCAATAAAACACTGTATGTGTGTCCAGTGTCCTGCAGTTTAACCAAATGTCTCCGTAATGTCTCTCAGACTGCAGGCTCGGATTGCGCATCGAATCCAGGAACTGGAAAGTCTGCCAGGCTCGCTGCCTCCGGACCTCAGGACTAAAGCCACAGTGGAGCTCAAGGCTCTGCGTCTGCTCAACTTCCAGCGTCAGGTACGCGGCAGCTGCAGCGTTTCATGTTTCACGTGACTGCATCAATGTAAATGCATAACTGCAGCAGCTCGTAGTCGAATGGAAAGAGCTCACTTTTGTTATCACTGGAAGTTCATCGGATCACCTGCCGTGTGAGTGTGTGCGGCGCTTTTATCGATAAATCCACACTGGGCTGGTTTGCTGCTCAGGTATTCTTAGAACGGAGATGCCATTTCCACTGATTTATGTTAAAGGTACATGTACATACAGAGTTTGGACTTCTTGCTCTCAGTCAACAAAATACATTCATCCACCTAAAAATATTATTATTAATTTGTTTTCTTTAGGCCGGCTTTTATTGTTGTTTTGGTTTATCGACACTTTCAGAATTCTTAATTTCTCTTATGCAGTCGTGCTTTCCCATATGGAAAAGATATTTATAAATCTTATAAAGTTTGTATCTGTCTTGTATGAAACTTGTATGAAAAGCATACAAACAGAAAACAGATATAAGATCCCTTGAAAAATTATATAATGAAACTTGTATGTTTTGGATACTTACTAAAACAATATATGAAAGTAATGAGAAAGTGGCCACTTTCATGAGTAAATCATATATGTTTTTACTATTTCTTTTCCATATGGGTTGTAATGAAGTGGACCAACCCTGTTTTTAAAGGAAGCTCATTCAATCATGCAAACGTTTAATTAGAAGTCAAATTGTTCATTTTAAGCCCTTTGATAATACAATAGTGCCTCAAGCTGCAGCTTAGCACTATTTTCAACTCATACTCAATTTGTACTTTAGAGATACAGGTTAGATTAGATCACTTTAGAGTTTGATAACCCGTTGATGAATATCCCAGCTGAGGCAGGACGTCGTGGCCTGTATGAGACGAGACACGACCCTGGAGACGGCCCTCAACTCGAAGGCTTACCGGCGCAGCAAGCGGCAGACGCTGAGGGAGGCACGCATGACCGAGAAGCTGGAGAAGCAGCAGAAGCTCGAGCAGGAAAAGAAGCGCAGGCAGAAACATCAGGTGAGCCACACCAGAGTCCATGTAACAACCCACAGCACTTATTATATCATTCATCTTATTGTTGTTCTTGTAAAAACTGCAGTGCCATGGAAATCATTAAAAGTAGTGGTGCAACGGATCAAAAATCTCACGGTTCGGATCGGATCACGCTTTTAAGTCACAGATCGGATCAATTTTCAGATCAGCAAAAAAAGACAAAAATTGAACATTTACTTGAAGTATTTTATGCCTGTTAAAAACATTCATCTCTAATAGTAATATTAAAAAATAAATTATGGTTCAATCTAGGGCAGTACAGTCTTTGTATCTACCACTCAATTCAGTTCAATTTTATTTATAAAGCGCCAAATCACAACAACAGTCGCCTCAAGGCGCTTTATATTGTAAGGTAGACCCTACAATAATACATACAGCTCATTACATCGCACTCCGCTGTGATATAATGAGCGGTCACGTAGCTTTCCGTTGCCCTGCAGCTCCACCCATTTGTAGCAGTTAGAGCAACAGAAGATGCCTGGGACAGTTCAGCCATAACTTTAATCTTTTCCTGCTCATACATGCCTGGAACGATCTTGTCACTGAAGTGGACGCGCAACGGGATATCATAGCGTGGCTCAAGCATGTTCATCATAGTTTAAACCCCTTGTTTTGCACAACAGAATACGGCGTCCCGTCTGCAGCTAAACACTGCAGTAGCTTCTGTAATAGCTTTAGCCGGTCGGACTGGGCAGCAAAGGGCTGCTTAAATACCTCAAACTCCTCTGCTCCTCCACTTGGACCGCTAGCGCTGACCATAGCTATCGCTTGACAGACTGACCACGTGCACCATACACATATTCTTTTTTTCTTCTTTTTCGGATCACGTGCGTGCCGAACCGTGGAGTGGGATCGGTTCGGATTACAGATCAACCGTGATCCGCTGCACCACTAATAAAAAGTATTCATGACAATTTTTGGTTAAAAAAACAAAACGCTACCGTCTCATTTCCCACAGTCAAAACAAATGCAACAAAAGCAATCAGAAAACTGTCAACAGTGCGACAGCATCCAGCAGGTCCTCCGTGTGAAAGCAGGTGACAGGCTGACAGGAAGGAAAACTCATGTGGCGTCAGGGTTGTGTCTGCAGTGACGGGAACAGAAACAAAAACTTGTGACTTGTTTTTCAGGAATATCTCAACAGCATCCTTCAACATGCCAAGGACTTCAAAGAGTATCACCGCTCTGTGTCCGGTAAGATGCAGAAGCTCACCAGAGCCATCGCCACCTGGCACACCAACACGGAGCGTGAGCAGAAGAAGGAGACGGAGAGAATCGAGAAGGAGAGGATGAGGAGACTCATGGTGAGGAGCGCCAAACCAAGATAAATCTTTTTGGAAGTCATGTGTTTTCATAAATGCTCAAACTAAAAGTTACGGATATACATGCTGATTATTCACTATAGTGGCTACAAGCATATCACAGCTTACAGTAAACATGTTTGCTGCCAGCAAATAAAGGATCTGGGCCTTCCTACAGCCTGCTGAGCTTGGACCAGCCTGCTGGTGCTGTTCTTATGATGCCAGTTGTTGCCACTGAGCTCAGTGTTGGCTTGACACACTTAGACATCTGTCTAAATGTTGCTCTCTGCATCTGTATAAGAAATGCCCCCAAATGCACAAAGCAGACCAAAACTGAACCTTTCAGAATTAGTATTTAATGTGGGTGATGGTCTCAGTGAGAAGCAGGATGTGACTGTCCACTCGTTTTCCGCTGTTCTCATTCTTCTCTGGTGTCTGATTATATTCCGACTCATTAAATCAGAGCTGGAGTTTGTCAGCTAAATAATAGCACACGATACAAACGTCCACAGTGTCGTGCTGTGGCTCTGCGTTCCTGTTTCGCACTTCTCAGCCCCCCACTCGGCTGCCAGCGCTGTTAGTGCTGCTGAGGCCTCATTACATGCATGACTGAAGAGAAGGGAAACTGTAGAAGTGTCTTATGATACAGACAGTGGAGGACTTTGTGACAGAGACAGTTCACAGATAAGGTCGCTGGTGTGCAAATACACAGTTTAGCCATTTAAAAGTCTGTTTATTAGTTTTTTAAAATTATTGTTAGCATGTTTTGTAAAGGATCTATTTGTAATCATAATAATAATTAAAGATCCTAAAGGGTAAACTGGCAACTATATGAGTGCAGTAGAGTTAATTTGTAATTCCATCCTGTTATTATAATGGATCATTTACACTTCACCGTTACAGCAGCTCTCGTCTTTAATTTGATGTCACTTTGGCTCATCCAGGCAGAAGACGAGGAAGGGTACCGAAAACTAATCGATCAAAAGAAAGACAAGCGTCTGGCCTACTTGCTGCAGCAGACGGATGAATATGTGGCCAACCTCACCACCCTGGTGTATGAACACAAAGCTGCTCAAGCTGCCAAGGAGAAGAAGAGGAGACGGAAGAGAAAGAAGGTAGGAGGACGAAGGTCAAGTGTGTGCTCTGTGCAGCACTCAGCTTCAGGCAAACATAAACACAATAAAGTGGCTGCTGCTGTTTATCCTTATGTGTAGGATATGTGGCCTGCAGTGTCATATTCAGTTCAGGGCAGTTTGTTTGCTCTTCTCTCAGTGTTCTCAAATGCTCCTGAGTAAATGACTTCACTACAACTACACTCACTGGCCACTTTGTTAAGTGCACCAGTTCAACGGTGCATTAATGCTCATGTTGCAGCGACTCGGTGTGTGCGGCCACGTAGGCCAAGACAACCTGCTGACGTTCAAACCGAGAATTAGCTCAGGGTCAAGGACAAACGGGGATTTAAGTGCCATTGAATGTGGCGTGGTGGTTGGTATTTCTGAAATGGTCTGGAAAAGAGAAAATATCCGGTGAGCAGCAGTTCTCTGGGTGAATGCCTTGTCGATGTCAGAGCTGAATGGCCTGACTGCTTCAGGCTGATAGGACAGAAACAGTAAGACAAGTAGCCACTCACTGCATACAAGGCATGCAGAAGAGCATCTCTGTATGGGCGACAAACCTCCAAAGCAGCACAAGACCACTGGTGTAAGCTAAGAACAGGAAGCTGAGGCTCGCAGGGTCGACAACAACAGGCTGGATAAATGTTACCTGGCCCGATGATTTTTGATTTCTGCTCTGATATTCAGACTGTAGGGTCAGAATTTGGAGTAAGCACATCCTGCCGTGTATCAGCGAGTCAGGCTCCAAGTACCAACAGGATATTATTTAACAAAAACACCCCAGCTATTGTGGCTGACCTCGTCCATCCCTTTGTGATAACGGTGAATCTGCTTCCAGCAGGATAACATGTCACAGAGCTGCCTTACAGTAGTTTCTTGAACATGAAGAGTTCACTTTATTTAGTGGTTCTTCACAGTAACCAGCGTCATGGATGTGCAGCAGCTCTGTGATGCTGTCGCACACAGTATGGACCAAACTCTGTGAGGACTGTTTCCAGCTCCTTGTTGAATTAAGCAGTTCAGAGGGTAAAAAGGGCCCCATCCTGGTCCTAGCAATGTGTACCTAATGAAGTGTCATGTGAGTGTACAACAGGAACACAAAGAGCACCTCAGATTTTCCATTCCCTCTAACCTATTATTATTATTATCAGTGTTTTTCCAGCTTTGATATGAGTCAGTGTTTTGAAGAAAATGCCATCTGATTGGTTGATGTGTTATTTATGTAGAAGGTGGATGGCGATGGTGAAGGCACTAGCGCAATTGGACCCGATGGAGAGGTGAGTGACTGTTCATGTTAAATGTAAAAAGTGTTTTGTAATTTGATCTGCAGCTAACTTTGAGTTTACTGAACGCTACCTCATCGTTAGCACGATTCCCACTCTGCAGCTTACCTGCTCAGGACTGCAGACAGAGTCGGTGCTGAGATGCGACAGCAGTGGACATTTTTTGTGGAGACTAAAAGTGGCAATAAAATCACACGAGTCCTGCACTTATGTTCAACAGGTGGACACAAACATGAATGAGTGACAGTCGTACTGATGGATGTGTAAATAATCAGCTGTCGAAAATCAGGCACTTCTGTTTCAAAGACTTTTTCAGGGTTCACGTCCCCCAGATGTCGACAGATGTTCGCTCTTTGTCCTCTGAATGTGTTTAACTTTCAAAATGAGTAACGCTGATAATTATTCCTCTCGTGCATTTGCTGAGTCTTTTATTGTGACTGCTACAAAATCCAACCTACTCTGACAGAAAAACGAAACAATAAGGAGGCGAACAAACAAACAGTAATTATCCATTGAGAGGCAGACTGCACCCTGGGCGATTGTACAACAGAGGCGTGTTGTAAACAGTCCTCCGAAAGCAAAAAGACGTCTGTGCTGTTTGTTTGTTTGCAGTCGTAACTTTCCACACTTTTTAATCATGTTCCTCTGTGAGCTCCAGAAGCTCAGGCTGAACTTTGATGGCAGGTTTGGTGAAGCTCTCATTGATGTTGTTTACCTCTAAAGGCAACTTTGGAGGTCTGAAAGTTTGGTTCATGTTGGGATTCATTAGTCTCATTTTTTCCGGTGAAAATAATTTATAAAATAATAAACAAAAGCTTTTGAATTGTCTGTAGAATTTTATGTTTTATAGCTCTTGTTTAATTGGGGTTATGGAACTAATGAAAAGTGTTTTACGTTCATGATATGCAGTCATAAAAGCAGCAGAAGCTCAGGTTACATCAGCGGTGGCTGATGAAAGTGAAGCTTTGTGGTTTATGGTTCTCGTTTCTAAATGGATTTGAAGATCTATATCATACTTTGATCGATATCAAAGTCCGCCGCTCATCTTAAAAACTTAACAGCTCATATCTTTTCAAAAAAAAGTTAAAAGACTAAAGTTTGAAGATGAGTTCAGATTTGTTTATGCATGCTGCTTCTTGTGTTTCCTCTGTCCTGTAGCCCATGGATGAAAGCAGCCAGATGAGTGAGCTGCCTGTCAAAGTGATTCAGACTGAGACCGGGAAAGTTTTGCAGGGAACCGAGGCCCCAAAATCCAGCCAGCTGGAGGCTTGGCTCGAGATGAACCCCGGGTGAGTTGCACAGCACTGTTGTCGGCTTCTGATCTCTTTGAAACGAAACCGTTGGACACTCCAAGATTCTGCTGGTGGCAGTCTTTGTGTGTTCGGCCACGGTGGCTCGTAATGCTCACACAGACTGCATTTTGTAACGCCGAGAACAAAACTTACCAAAATCAATTCGAAGAAAATTCTTTCAAGTCTAGAATTAAGCATTGCTATGTTTTTCAGGGCGTCATGCACATCAAGGTTTGTGAACGCGATGACTCGAGAACGAAGCAACATAGGAATTTCAGACAGATGCCAAATCTCAGATAAGCTTGGATCTTAGTGACCTTGGCCTCGAGGTCAGAGGTCGAGTTTCCTGAAAACCTGGCGTGTCTAATAACTTGAGAAGGAAGTCACCTCGGATTTTGACGTTGATACCAGTCTTGGCATCCTCGATAGAATTCATGCATTTTTATGTAGCTGGTTTCTCAGTGGAGCAATATGTAGCTGTTCCACCTGACACTGTGTCCATGAAAACACATCAAACTACACTCGCTGTGTTCCCTCTGGTCACAGCACACAGAGTCCACGGCTGTATCCCAATTCAGGGTCTGCAGCCTTAACGGTCCACAAGGGCCGCGCACTCAAAGACCGCTAAGGCCGGAAGTGCGAGGCTTGTGAAATGGGACGGTCTAGCCTCCGTCGCGCTGCCCAGGTTGCCTAGCAACCATGATACTAACAGCTGGAAACGTGTCATACAGCTTTGTTTGACAGAAATGAAGGGGAACATATTTTGTTCATTTGTTTGTTTCTACATGAGCGTTGATCATTCTCTGTAGGATTAAGCTCAACTATTGAACGCCGTATATGTTAAAGTAAAGGCTTTAAAACCAAGTTAGTACAAACGTCACTAATGTCACATGACTTTGCCGACATGTGGCCAACAGGAATGTTTTATGTTCTTCGTTATTAAACATTTGCACATAAATAAGTGACATAATATTCAGTACTTACTTAAAGTTCACTCTTCGGCCGCCCCTCATCCGCCGTTTTTTTCTGCAAAATTATCCACACCCACCGCCGCGCTATGCATTCTGGGATATGTTGGGCCACGAAGTCTACACCGCCACAGCCTTAAAATTCAGGGAAATGAAGGACGCATTTGAGGACTGCATTTCGAGCAGCCTTCGGATTGGGACAGCCTTCGGCGTGTCGCTGTGACGTAATCGGCCTTCAAATGCGGCCTTTAAGGCTGCAGACCCTGGATTGGGATACAGCCCCTGTTATCACTAAAGCACCCGTCGTTTTCTCCGTAGCACCTCCAGGATTGCAGGTGTCGCTCTGTGCAGCAGAACCGTGAGCACGATCAGGTGGAAAAGATTCGTCATTGCCAAGAACACCAAGAGAAGAAAATCCAGTTTGACTTTACACGACTTTAAAACAAAAAGCAGCAGTTTCATCTTCAGTGAAATTATACTGAGCCAGAAAAATCGTTAAAATAAAAAAACACAAAAGAGCACGAGCTGCTGCAACAGGCAGACAGTTACCAAGGCAGAAAATGACTGAATTAATAACATTGGCTAAAATGTTTTAGATTTTTAAATAATATTTAATAAAACTAGGAAACGTTGAAATTCTCCTTCCACACTCTGATGATATTGATAGTCTGAATATCAATATCCCCGAATCAGCACATCTCCTTCATAGTTAAACATGTTTATAGTGTGAATCTTTTACTCGCTCTGTTTATTTATTTATAAACTCTCTTCACTATCTGGAGAGTTGTTGCTTGTTAGATAAATTCTGCTGAAGCTCGTCATTATGTTTCTGTGACGGGCACAGATGTTTTAATGAGGCTTTGTTTTTCTGTTGCTTCTTTTGAAACAGGTATGAAGTGGCCCCGCGGTCAGACAGCGAGGAGAGCGGCTCAGAGTTTGAAGAGGAGGTAGAGGATTTTCTCATTAATAAACTTTATATTGCACAAGATCCACCAGGGGGCGCTGTACACTTTATTATCCACATCAAAGTTGCTCCTTTGTTCCATCTGTGCTGCTGTTATTTTATTAAGCACGCTCACAGTCATGTGTTATCAACTTTACCTTATAAGGAGGAAGATGAGGCGTCCAAAGGAGAGACAGAGGAGAAGAAGATAATCGATCCCAACGGAGATGGAGCCACTGAGAGAGCTGCCAAGAACATCATCGAGTATTGTATTTCCTTCTGTTATCTCCCATTTACTCGGCATGCTAGAAAGAAGCGTTCAGTTCACATACGCTGGAAGTTGAGTGTGTAGACTGTTTTTTAACAATCTGAAACCTGATTTTCCCTGCAGGAGCCTCACAAATAAGCAAATAAACAAACCTCTGGCTGTCTTTGTATTGGATGTGGATTTCCAGAGGAGCTCAGACAGTTATTAGTCTGAGCTCCCGGGGTCAGGCCTCAGTTAGGCGCCATTAAATTAAATTTGTAAGCTGGTTCAGTTTGAGTTAGAATACTTTCAAATGCTCTCTGTCTCAAATGATCAAACACACATGCAGGTCAGCCAAGCAGGATGTGGATGATGAGTACAGTGTTCCTACTGGCCAAACCAGCTCCCAGTCTTACTACGGCGTGGCCCACGCTGTCATTGAGAGGGTGGAGAAGCAGTCGTCACTGTTGATCAATGGGATGCTCAAACAGTACCAGGTACACACACACGTATACAACATGCCTGCTTTTGTAGAAGCTGTCTACTCCTCCCTGTGCCTGAATCTACCAGAGGTCTCTTCCTGTTAACAGGGAGTTCCTTTTTCCACCATTGCCAGGTGCTCCTCGCAGGGCATCAGTGGATTGTTGAGTTTTTCACCCTAATGTTGTATCTTTGAGGGAACTCTTTGGTCCAAGGAATCCAATAACATGACAAGAATTTAATAAATGAGTCAAGCAAGTCTACATTGGTCAAATTTGCAAATAGATCGAGGGAACATATAGAAACACTTGTTGTGAAGCTTCTGCTTTTTTCCAGCTTTGTGCCAAACAGTGTGTCAGATGTGTCCTTTATCCTAGGCTGGTCTAAAACGTCGTTGTTGCCTTTAACTGGTTCGACCTCATTTGTAAGCGCTACACTGGAACTTTGGCGTGACCTAGCAGGGCCTCCTAACTGTTCTTGGACAGCTTGTCCTGATTCTGGCTGAACAGTGTGGCCCAGTGCTGCCACCAGTAGACACGTCTAATTTGTCTTGAATGCCCTGTGAGGACTTGAGTTTCAGTTCAGTTCTACCGAGTCTGTGAAAAACATCTAAAGTGTCCAGCTGGAGCAACAGAGCAAGATGTTGAAAGTCTAATGAGATGGCAGAACGCTGCACAGAGATTTGCAGCGTCATGCAAACATATCAACTCTTTCAGCAGCTATTTTATCTTCCATCAACAACTATGTGCAAAACAGACGTAATGTGGATTTCAGGTTAGAGAGCAATCCACCAGGAATGTCTGCTTGCATGTGGTTGAAACTGGAACTTCTTTCCAAATGAAAGTTGAGTCAGACCCTCTTTCAGCAGACCGGCTCCTTTCAAATCAGCGAGAACTGATTTGCAGAGCTAAACTTTGTCTAAATGTATGTCTGCATGTTCACATGGGAAGCCGCTCTCATCTCCCAGCCTGTCTCTAATGTGATGTGGTGCACATCCATGGGGCATTCTTAAGCACGCGTGGGATCCACCCGAGCATTTGATGTGTGATTTGAGAGGCATTAGACAAAGTCATGCAAACACTGAGCTTGCATGGGCAGTCAGCAACTTGATTGCAAACAGAAATCAATATGGCAGCTTGTTTGAGACCAAAACTAGTGCAGCAAAATGTATTTATAACAACATGGTAGCAATGAAGTATGCAGGTGCTGAATATGTTTTCATTTTAGATGAAAAAGTCCAGTCTGAGTGCTTTCAGTTGTTTCCTGGTTACAATGAATGGGAGCAAACGTTGGCTGATCTGCAGAGAAGGAACATTTTAGAGACTGTAAAGTTCTCGTATAAGTTGCAAACATTGGACCACATTGGATCCGAGCTAATACATTTGAAGAATTCAATTAAAACCTTTGGACACCCCCTTACATGCTGTAGCTCTCACTGCAACTCAGGAGCACCGCTGCTGTCAGCTTTAAGCAGAGTTTACACGACAGCTGAAGTAACAGACTGTCTGCATACAAACAGCTTTAGCTGTAATTGGATCTTCATTCTCCAACTTTGCGCTAGTCTAAAACAAAGGGTCAGTGGATGACAGTGTGTTTAACGCGTAGTTTGATAAATGACTTCATTTGGCTTTTTACCCACAGAGGTTTTGATTGTGACTACAGTGACACGCGCTGGCGTTCAGTTTATTTGGACTTGATGGACTGCATCATTACTGTGTGTGTGTGTGTGTGTCTGTGTGTGTGCGTTTCATCAGTTTTTGTCAAGAAAACAGAGTCTTGTCATGCTTTCTGTTCTCATATATTCTAAATGCATTTTGCAGTCCATGCACGTCTATTTTTGTTGTAAATATGAGTGAAACAGTCCAGCTGTCGAGTCTTGCAGCGCCGGCGCCAACTTCCTGCTGTGCTTTCAGTGCCACCAGTAACAGCTTCATAATCATCAAACGCTACCTTCAGCATGAAAACAGGCCACAGATGGCAAGAAGAAGTTCTTATAGATGAATGCGATTTCATTTGATAAATGCGATGAATCCACACCTCAAATGTTAGTTTTATATTATTGATTCATGTAAACAAGCATCACGTTTCGTGGGAAAAAAGCCTCTCAGCCTCCTAGAGGTCCGAACTAAACTTAGTACCTTGATCAGAAAACTAAACTTCCTCTTTATTTCTCTTAACCTTTAACTTAAGCCTACATGTGGGACTAATAAAGATTTATCTTAATCTTAATCAGCAAATTAGGTGATAGTTAAAATAACAGCTCGAGCCTTAAATGTATTTATGTTCTTCAGTGCAGGTAAATTAGCCTCTGCTCTCTGTGATGATGTCCTAGTATATTTACTGAGGGCGTTGCCGCCCTCTGGACATGGAAACAAATCGGTTTCAGGTTTTCTGAATATTCCCGAGTCTGTGGGCAAAGAGCTGGTGACTGTCACAATCTTCGGTCATAGATAGAGGCTTTGTAAACAAACACATCTCCTGTTAGGCACATGAATGCGTCTTAGTCAAGCCTGTCTGCCTGTAGCGATGCAGACACCCTCATCTCGTCTTCAGCTGCAGCGTACATGACCGTGAGAGACATATTGGCAGAGATCTGGAACTGGCAGCTGGGTACAGCTAGCATTTGTTTTCTATCCAATCACGGTGCAGTCATCCTGTTTGTCTGATTTATGGTGTGCCAAATTTAAAATGAGATATGGCGCGCTGCTTGGGGAAAATTGGACATCCATTAATCGGATCAAACGTCTGCAGTGTCAGTGTATATATAGCAAACCTAAATTCACAGAGACTATGCATTCAGTTGGGAATTTCTTTTCACAACCTTCATCTCTGCAATTAGCTCTGCCGCTGCATGCAGTGAAGTATTGTGCAGTTTATTGGTCACCTTTTCTGTTACCACTGTCCTCCTGACCTTTCCTCAGACCGTCCTTCGCTCGCTGATTGTTTCCCCACAGAGTTATTTTTCTCCCAATGCTTTAGGATATAAAATGCTGTGGTGGCAGTAACATCAAGTTAGCCGGCAAAGCTCACAGTGAAAAATGTCAACTTAACTTCTTCTAAAGGTCTAAAGGTTTGCACATTTACAAGTACAGAGGCAGAAGAAATGCCTTTAGATTCCATATGTTTGGCAGTTCTTTCTTTTAGGCTGTCACAGCTAAAGGCACAGCATGACATCATGGATATGTGTGTCTAGTTATGTTTAAAAACTTTAAGACATGTATAATTTCTGCACTTTTCTGGATTTTTCTGGATTAAGTCTGCCATGTCAGAAAAAGTCACTTGTCCCAGAATCCAAAATTCAATCAGTCAGCAATAAAAAAAAAAGGATCAAAGATGAGTTTCAGTGTAATCTTTTGTCGCTTTAATGTCTTTTTTTCTTCTTAATTCAACTTAATTTCACGGCGTATGTTTACCTGTCGCCATCTGCACCCCACCCGCAGTGGCTCTGTGCCCCGACAGCAGGCCCCGCCCCACAGTTTGAGAAATCAAGTGTGCTGCTCCACAGTGGGATGCTATAGAAACAAAGATTGCACCAACAAACGTACAGAGCTGGATGTTAGAAGACATTAGAAGGCCCGTAGTGCTACACAGACCATCCTCAACATGCAAGAAGCTTTTATGGGCTGCTTTAGCTTCATCACCTGATTGTTAGGACTGCCCTATGATAGGATAAACACAGTAGTGCAAGGATGCATTTACTTGACTTGTTGCAGGTGCCTGTGATTGCCTTCATATCTGCTTTTATTATTCACAGCAGCCAAGGAGAGCTCCATTATTCATGTTGGAATATAGATGATTGTAAACTCTGGACATTATTAATTGCATTGTCTTTTTAACATCTAGTTAGACGTGCATTTCTCCTTTTTCTTCGTCTTCACCGTTTTATCGTTTGTGTGTTTTGTGTGCACACAGAGCACGCTCATGCTTTCCTCTCTGTGTTTTAGATTCAGGGGCTCGAGTGGATGGTGTCCTTGTACAACAACAATCTCAACGGCATCTTGGCTGATGAAATGGGGCTCGGCAAAACCATCCAAACCATCGCCCTTATCACCTACCTGATGGAGCACAAGAGGCTCAATGGTCCCTTTGTCATCATCGTTCCTCTCTCGTTAGTACTTCTCTTCCAGTATCAATCGTGGCTCTTATCTCGCAATGTCATGACACCCTAAAATCTAACATTATTAGAGTCACCTTTGAAAAGAACTTCAAATGATAATCATTCGTGTGAAGGCTTTCTTTTTGTTCGTGTATTAGCAGCACTACACGTAAACTACCCTGAAGGTCCTTATGAGTGCTCCCTCACTCCCTTCCTGTCCTTTTAGCTATTTCCATCGGTGCCAGGAACCTGTTTAAAAGGCATAGGCTATATTTTATCAGCTTCAGCCTTGGTACATGGACTCAGCATTCATTTGAAAAAGCACAAACAGCTTTTCAGCATGACTGCACCTGGAATTAAGGGGCGCTGTAATAAGAAAAAAATGTGTGTTTTTATATCTTTCTAATAGATTTGTGCTCTCCACACGCCCCTGTAGACTCACAGTGAAATAGCCCGAGCAGTACGCGGGCTGTAATGGAAAGCAGGAGAGTTGGTGTTTGCGCAAGTGTCAGGTGTTCACATCCATCTCACTGTGATAAGTCCAAATTCATGCTTCGTAATTATTCTAACAATATCAAGTACAGTGCATACTAAACAGGGTACGAGAATACTACTGCAGATATTTTTCACTTTGCAGTGTGGAAAGGGTCCAGCTGCTCACAGCTGCATTAAAAATGCATTGTGCACGAAGGTGCTTATTGTTATTGAAGTTAAATTGGTCTTCTTAGGCCACTTCCTGTTAGTATGAGGCGGATGGAGGCACGGACAGACACTCACACATACGTCTTTCAGGTCTCGCTTCTCTTCTGAATTGTGGAGCTGCTGGTTTGCTTTGCCTGTGATAATTGAGGCAAGGTGCAGAGAAAAGTTCAGCCAATCAAATTGCATTTATTCAGATACGTCAGTGCAGCTGCTTGGCACTCAGATTGTGTTATTGAAATAACCTGAGAGAGTACGCTAGGGACGGGTGCAGCTCGTCATTCAACATTTAAACTGCAGGAGAAATGAATCATTGCTCTGAGTAATCAGAACATCTCATGTAGCCAAAGCAGTGAAGTTCATGCTAACTGCTAATGGAAGCTTGCCCTGTGGGAGAGATACCACCTGGATATGACATCACTGCTCTAGTGACTGCAGCAGGACAGAGGCATTACATCATCAATAACGTTTATGTGACCCTGCACGCCCCTCAAACCACACGGTGTTCTGGTTATGGCTTTCTTTTCTTTACTGTGCTTTCACAGTACTTTTTGGGTTTAGCACAGTCTTCGGTCCAATCAATCAGCTTGTCACCAGCTCCCGGCGTCACTAAAAAGGGAGAGACCTGATTACGCCTGCTGCACCACCGCTCCCCTGCTGCAGAGCCAAAGACCTCACCTCTGCCACAGTTTAGTTTTTTAACCTGCTAAAACAGCACAGGAGGATAATTAGCATGTCTGAGTGTGTTTTTGGCCCGAATAAAGATGCAGAATTTTAGTACAAGGCCGTGTGTGCATCTCATTATAGGGTCAAAGGAGCCAAATTATTTGATGGCAGTTTTAATGATGAGTAGAGAGGCTTGTATTTATTTCATGTGTGGGGCCGCTCACACAGTCCTCACGAACACTTTATAACTGTGCAACATTAAGGCTAGAAACAACCCATAATGCATTGTTGTCCATTACAAAATAATATCTGATAATGTGAATAACTGATGACTTTACGGGGTGTGGTCGAAATAAACTGTTTTCAGAGTGTGGGAATATGTCCGATTACTGATCCAGCTTCATGAAGTGTGTGATTCCCCTCATTGTTTTTCACTTACAAACAGCAGGAAACCAGCGTGCTGTTGTTCAAGGGTGAAAATTCAAAGTGGTTTAAGGCTGATGAAAGTGTGCGCCTTGTGCAGAGTGCAGGAAAACACTCGGCTTTTTAATTGTTATTCCTTTTAATGTTGGTTTCTAACTGCAGGTGTTGGAAGATTAGAGTGAACAATGGTTGTGTTTTTAGAAGCAAGCCTACTTTTTAATGATTAATGAGCAGAGCACTTTTTCTTTCTAAGTGATGGAAGCTGAGCGGAGGCTTAATTCGCTGCTCAAGGCCACTGTGTGTAACGTGCTCTTGAATATGCGTAGTGTGCAAATATGGAGTAAAGCCTAAAACTGTCTGTTTTTTAGCACACAGCAGTTTGTCCCAGTGTGCCACTGAGCAAGAGCTCATCAAGTCTCTGCTTTTGTGCATTTTCATGGTTTCTTTGGTTGTTTTTGTAAATGAAGTGTTGATGAATCTGTCGTCTTTGAAGACTCTGCCTTTACTGCTAAAAACATTCTGACCACATTTAAATGCTGTTTTCAGGACCTTGTCTAACTGGGTCTATGAGCTTGACAAATGGGCTCCGTCTGTGGTTAAGATTGCTTACAAGGTGAGACAAATCTCTGTTTTTTAGTCTAGTCTCTTTTTTCACATCACAGATGTTCAGATTTTCTGCTTTTTACGACAGAACGTTGTCTCTTCTATGTCTCTCCACATATTAGGGCACCCCTGCTTTGCGTCGTGGGCTGGTGCCTCAGCTCCGCAGCGGGAAGTTCAACGTCTTGCTGACCACCTATGAATACATCATCAAAGACAAGCATATACTGGCTAAGGTGAAAAGGATCAAACCTCTTTCTTCTATCTGTAATCTGCTTCCTAACGTGAACCCTGTTGCAGCATCTCCATCACAAATATCCACAAAATGAGCAAAAGGAAATTATGGTGAGCTTCCATCCACCGCTGCTGCCGAAGCTCAAATCAGCAAAAAGTCTGGAAAAGCAGCAGAACTGTGATTGTTGTTTGTTTCATGCAGTAATTTGAGAGATGTTTCCTCACTTTGCTTTTCATCTCTTCAGTTGAATAAGTCATGCATCGTGCATTATTCACTGACTCGCTTTTGCACTTTGTACATTTTGTTGTTATTAATGAACAAACTTTTCATCTTCAGCTAAAATTCAGATTTTTGTTTTTCTCACTCGAGGCTTTTTAAAGGTTAAATATGTGCATCTGGCAGTAATTGTATTTTATTAACATAAAGGTTTTGCAATAACACCAAGTTTTATTACTTGCGATGAACAAACCTGACTCCTGTGTGAAATGTAACTAGAACACAGTGATGTGCAAATCTTACAAAACTGTATTTTATTCACAACAAAACACAGAAAACACATCAAATGTTTAAACCGAGTGAAATAATTGTTCATTTTGTATCTGATGGCAGCAATATGTCTCCAAAACAACAGTTTGCCGCTGTGCAGCATCCTCTCTTATTTTAACATCAGCCCACATCATCAAACATCTGGAGCTGAGGAGCGCAGCAGCTGGAGGAAAGCTTCCGGCCTTTTGTTGCCCCCACTCGGACTGTTTTTCAGATGTGTTGCTGCCATCAAAATCAAAATGAGCCAATGTTTCACCTAAAATTGTGCATTTGTTCAGTTGAAACACGTAATATGTTTTCTCTGTTCTGTTGTGAGTAAAATATGAGATCTGCGATCAGTGAATTCTGTTTTTATTGACATTTTACAGCTTTTTTGTGCTCATAATACACATTATATGACAGGGGCACAAAGATTTCATCGGGTCAGATGAGAACGTGTGTCATAAACACGCTAAATAAAAGGCGGAGTCAGAAGCTTGTTGTTTGTATTTAGAATTATTCTGCAGCCTGACAGTCGTCAAAGTGCAAAATCAAAATCCTGCAGTGACGACTGAGACACAAACTGAAATATTTAAAATGCTAATTTGCACTCGGGTTCTGTTTTGTGTCTCCTACAGATTCGCTGGAAGTACATGATCGTTGACGAGGGTCACCGCATGAAGAACCACCACTGTAAACTGACACAGGTGCTGAACACGCACTACGTGGCCCCCCGTCGGCTGCTCCTCACCGGGACTCCTCTGCAGAACAAGCTGCCCGAGCTGTGGGCCCTGCTCAACTTCCTGCTGCCCACCATCTTCAAGTGCTGCAGCACCTTCGAGCAGTGGTTTAACGCACCCTTCGCCATGACAGGAGAGAGGGTAGGTGCCAGGAGAGCTACCAGTGTTTTAGTTTTAAGCTAACACTGGCTGATGCTGAAGTCTGGGTTTTGCAAATCAAGTTAATAATTAGTTTTAACCTTCGTAGATCAAATAATAATACATAATGCATTTTGTGTTGTCATGTAGTATAAATTTACAAAGGAGATATCAGAAAGAGACGAATCATTCCTGAAAGCTCTGTGATTAAAGAGACTGAAGAAGTTTTACAGTTTGGCTGCTGTCGTGATCTCACTCAGGGCAGGAACCATCAGAAGGAACCTCGGGCACATAAATGGTTAATAAGTCCTTCATGTCATTTGGATCAAGGCCACTTAAAACTTTTAAAGTGATGATAAGTACAGACATTATCATTCATTATCAGAAAATGCCAAAGCTTCTGTGTAATAACTGAAATCCTTTTAAAAACTGTATTTTCAGCCTTTTCTTCCTGCAATGGGCTGATTTTTACTGAACACAGAAATACTTCCCATTTAAAGCTGTTAAATGGAGCTGCTTCCATCTGTTCCCCTCAGCTCACTGCTTTTCTTTGCAGCAGTCACATGTTTCATTACTCCTGGCAAGGAAGCAAAGGGAGGTCATTCATATCTAAAATTTAACACGGCTTATTTAAATGCATAAGGGAGAATGTTTTTATACCCACTGCATTAAGACTCTGGAAGTGTTCTGAATGTAATTCTGAGTATCCACGGGGAATTTTATTTCCTGCCCCTGGAAAGTTCAGTGAGTCTCCAAAAAAGAGGCAGGATTCAAAAAGTAAAAGATTTCAATAAATAGACACCCGAGAGTTATTCTGGGTGTCGTCACTATAGGAGTGACATTTCCTGTCCTTCTCTACATTTAGAAGCGGTTTCAACTGCTTTCGATGCTTCTGCACCGTCTTCCAGAGCGCAGTAGGCTGAACGAGCGGTAGCCAGCATGGAAGTGGTCTCTGATATCTGTCTGTGCTCTGACATCGAGAGTTTGCAGTTTCAGCAGTCATGGGACTGCGGTTTGGACAAAGGTCCCGGTTCAATGCTAGGAGAGGACACAGCCCTTTGGGGTCGTGTCATATCAAACATGTGGGAGTAGGCAAAACTTTCAAATCCCCCGTAGCAGTGCCCGCTCCCACCAAGTTCAACGTTTCATCTTTAGATTACATACAGCTCGTCTCATATTACTTTTCTAGATGCATGTAATTAAAAGTTATAGATGATTTCTAAGCTGAAAAATAAGTTTTCGTTTTACTAAAGGGAACCCGTTCTGCTCATTTCCAGCTGTACAAGCGTTGCATGATTTAGGAAAAGAATATTTAAGCGTATTTTTGCTTTCCTGCATTAGTAGTAGCTGTTTTAGTTCATGAAAAACAATTTGGTGCCCTGGGTGCAACAGACGCACCGTGGCCAAACATAACAATTTTTAATTAAAAAGGCACCCTTAAGGAAAAAGTGGATTCAGGCACGCTTCTTATCATCAATTAGTTTTTAAGTGATGTGTAATAATGGCAGCAGAGTGAGTCAGTGGTTGGAAACAGGCCGGACCCTTCTGTCTGGAATTTGCATGTTCTTTGTGTGCCAGCATGGGTTTCTTCCAGGAGCTCTCGTTTATCACGCCATGCAGAACATGGCGTGATAATAACAACCTTAGTTGGCCAAGGAAACACATGCAAAAGAGCTTCTTTCTCTTAAGAGTTTTACTTCTGGGTTAAATGACGGTTTAGCTTAAAGCAGCATGTCGGCAGGTAGGAATCTCGTCACTCTGCGTGAAACAAGCAGCTGCGAGGCGTCGTCTCTCACTCTTTCTGACGTCTTCAGGTTGACTTAAACGAGGAGGAAACCATCTTGATCATCCGGCGTCTGCACAAAGTGCTCCGCCCGTTTCTCCTGCGCAGGCTGAAGAAAGAGGTGGAGTCTCAGCTGCCAGAGAAGGTGAGGTTAACACGACTGAATGCTGATTTAGGACGCTGCAGAGTTCTCAGTGCACCAAACCTGCACTGCTGTTTGTATGTAATGCATGTGTAAGTCGCTCCTATTGAGCTGATTTCAAGGTTACATGCAGCTGTTTTTACACTTTGAGGAACGGGATAGTCTTTGCTGACCTTGGATGCAACATTCCTGCTTTCCAAAGTAATTGAAGCTGCAGGTTTGTAAGTACTGCATCGAGCTCCTGGCCACACTGTGCCGGAGGGGTTTCAGAAAGTAATTGAAGAAAAGGAGATAAAGTAGTCTGTGTGACCTAAACACATTGTTATCAACTTCTACGGTTGCATTGCTTAACTGTTGTGACCCAGAGCCAGACACCTTAACTGATGACAGGAAATTATCCGTAGCCTTCTTCTGACCATTCATAGTTATTAAAAAGAATGAAAGATTTTGAAGGAGATGACTTTGTAAGCTGAAGCACAACCTCACAGCTCGTTCTTTGGTATTATTCTTTATGCCTTTATTTTCATTCTCATTAGTGTATTTCGTCAGTGCTGAGCTGACTGATGGGGATTGTGGATTTGGCTCAAACAGCCTCACTATTGAAAAGACACCACTGTGCCGCTGGAGTTTCATTTAATTATTTATGTTGTCGTTCACAGGTGGAGTATGTCATAAAGTGTGACATGTCTGCCATACAGAAGGTTCTGTACCGCCACATGCAGAAAGGCATCCTCCTCACTGACGGCTCAGAGAAAGACAAGAAGGTAGATCGTCAGCTCCTCGGTGGCTCCGCTGTGTCGCTTTGTTCTGTCTGTGTGTGTCGACAAAGCCTTTGGGAAGAGTCTGCAGTGATTTGCCTGCTGTTTGACATTAGAAGGACCTTGAACTTTCTTTGAGTGCACATTTGCTATGTTTGCATAATTTAATTGGATATTATAAATTTAATTTGACTCCTGAAGCTACATTTTAATTTCCAGCTTTAGTTTAATTTCTTTTAACCAAAGCACTCGCGGGAATATTCTGCCCATGATCTGCGTTCAAAACAAACTAGTCAGTGTTACCTACGTCCAAGACCTTGTAAAGAAGTTTTTCAATGTGCTGTCCATGGATGCGTCACGATTGTGCTCATCAATATGACCATGTAAAGGGGGGAAGAGCCCCTCTGAGAATCGCTGCCTTATCGTGGTGGAGGGTTTGTGTGTCCCAGGGATCCCAGGAGCTTTGTTGTCCGGGGGCTTCTACCCCCTGGCAGGGTCTCCCATGGCAAGTTGGTCCTGGGTGAGAGACCAGACAAAGGGCGATTCAGAAGCCCAATCAAGGGAACAGTTCACCCTGCCTGGGATGGGGTTACCGGGGCCCCGCCCTGGAGCCAGGCCCAGGGAGGGTGTCCGAGGGTGAGCGTCTGGTGGCTGGGCCTTAGTCCATGGGGCCCGGCCGGGCACAGCCGAAAAGGGACATGGGTCCATTCTCCTGATGGCCCACCACCCGCAGGAGGTACGTTAGGGGTCGGGTGCAACTGGGACAAGAAATGCCTCCTGAATCTGAATCTCCTTTTGACTTTATTGAGCTTCGTGACAGATTTTCATCTTCTTTTATTAACTGAAAACGCTCTAACAGCCCAGTGCACGCTGACTGTCCCCACTTATTTTAGAAGCTGAGGAAATCCTTCCTTCATGAGTTGGTAAAGACCAAACACAGAGTTCTGACGGAGTCGGCACCGCTCTGCTCCTCAGGAAGCTGCAAACACGGCTCCAAATCAATCAGAACGTGGTTCCTTAAACAAATGTTGGATCGGTCAAAACTTCGTTCACACCTGGTTTTCACTTCCCACAAGTTTTTAAAAAATAGTTAATAATTAAAATAAGGTCTTGTAGGTGATTAGTAGCATCAGCATATCCAGACTGTTTGGGTCTTTTTTACTCATTTTATCTCTCATACATTTCTGCAGGGCAAAGGTGGAGCAAAGACCTTAATGAACACCATCATGCAGCTGAAGAAGATCTGCAACCACCCGTACATGTTCCAGCACATTGAAGTGAGTGTGGGATTGTTTGCTAGAGTATTTTATGTTGATTTCAAACTGTTGCACATTTACTGGATTGTGATATTTAGGTTTCAGCTCAGAGAAGCAGATCATTGATCACATCTGTGTCCCTGGCTTTTACCGCTGTTCCAAGTGAGCTGGTTCACGGTGGCTTTAGAGGGGAGTCTAGGATTCACCGTGCCTCAAACACCAGCATTAAACACCTGGTCCTGTTACATTTGCTACAAATTGGTTGTTTCCAAAGTTCCTAAGTGTTGGCTTGTGATGGCAGTTAACGGCAACATCAGCCATATTTGTTCCACGCCGAGCTGATTCATGGTGTTGTTGGGACATTGCCTTTAAAAGTAAAAGTAGTTCCTCAGATGCCAGGAGAGCATTAAGCGTCTCGTCTTTGCTCTCGCAGGGAGTAATAGAACATATGGCTTGCGGTGTTTGCAGAAATTGATCAGGCTGGTAGACTTTGAGGCTGACGCTCATTTGAGCCCATCTGTTTGGATGCTGGGGCGGTTCTCAGATGAAACATCACAAGAGGCTGAAAACCTTAAAGGCTCATTCAAACAGACTCTGTAACTGCTTCAGTCTCATGATTGAAGTCCTGATAGAGTCATGTAAATGTGATCAAACAGTAAGGTTTTCATTGATGTTTAGTTCTTGTGTTTGTTAATGTTCTCAGGGCCCCACACAGAAACAGAACTGATAGATCAGCTGGTCAAAACCTGCCTGTTGTTGCAAATCTTGTGACATGTTCAGAAGAAGTCATATATTTGCCGTTTACAGGACTTAGTTGTCTGTGTTGCTTTGACTAGTTGATGTTCTCCATTGCAGGAATCCTTTGCTGAGCACTTGGGCTATCCGAACGGCATCATCAGTGGGTAAGTCGTACGATCAAACACCTCGTGTCCTTCACTGTTGCACTGTTACTGTTATGAAAACATAATAATACAGTGGCCAATCGATCTGTTTTGTGCTTTGAAAAACACATTTGATTTAAGGCAGTGCTGTAGATGCTCGTGCATGGGCTGAGTAAATAAGTAAAATAAAGATTTAACAGTGATTTAAGCTCATATTGATGCTCAGACATCGTTAAGCACTTAACTGCTATATTTAGTTCTGCAGAGATTCAGGATTTCCTGCCATGAACGTTTGCTTTTAATTTCATCGTTATTAATGATAAAAAATCCACACATGAAAGTGAATGATTAATATTGTTTACGTCAGTTTACATGAGTGCAGTGATAGAGCTCGTCAGTTTGTGTATAATCATTTAACAGCTAATTCAGGAGGACGAGGTTTCACATGCAAGAAGCCAACGTGTCAGATAATTGCTGCATCTCTGCTGTGCTTGGCACTAATTGGCACCAGATAGCAATTATTCACAGCGGCAGTTCACCTCAAACCCCTCGTGTGAGAATGGGTCCACGTTTAGATCACAGATTGCAGCTTTGCTTTGGAACATGCCAGAAACAGCCTGCTGTGTTGCAGGAACAGGACACGTGAACCCGACGTGAAAGACAGCGCCGATTTCATGGAAGGGGTATGCAGCGCGCTGGAGCGAGAGTCAAAGTTTGAAGTGTTAAGCTCGCCGCCTAATGCTGCTTCAGGCACGAGGATCTCTAAACCTCAGAACAGGCTTTTCCCCGCAGCACGGCGTGCAATAAATGCTCACAAAGGAAATTGCGGCCATTTCAACTTATGTAGCGCTCGACTCCAGGTACACGACGCCCAGCTGAAAACAAGTCGAGCTGCCTGAGATTCACAGAATTTACAGAAAATGTAAAACTTTTGTGATTTATATCGTTGTCTGGACGATAAATGTCTTATATGGGAATATGAGATGTTGGTCATATCGCACAGCGCTAATTTTGCAGGATTTTCACTACAAAACATTCCAGTAAAACAGGCGTGCTTTTGTCCCATTTTTGTGGAGACAGTGAAGGTTCCACGGCGTGCAAAGAAGAGCGTAAAGTCTGAAAAGGTTAAAGCTCGAGAAGCTCTCATCGTAAATTGAAACCTTATTATTTGCAGCCTTCGTCACGCTCGTTATAAAACATATTACTGACGTCGTTTTAAATAGCATAGGTGTCACCAGTGATTCACCTCAACATACCTGAATGGGGGGTGTCCAGTGGAGTATCACCTTATTTGCTGCATGAACTGGGAACGTTCACGTTGGGCGAGGTGTTAAAGTTTTGCTCTGCTTTGGTATCTTGACCTAAAAATAGTTCACGATAAACAGAAAAGTCTTTTAGTTAAAAAAAAAGTATGATTCAAGGCAAAGAGAAAATAAAACATTATAGAAGCTACTTAATAAAAGATGCATCGTGCACATAAAACAAGATGAATAATAAAAACCACTGTAGAAACTCATTTATTGAAAAGTCCTTGTTCATACCTGCTGTAAGCAGCAGCAAGCTTTTAAAAATGCGAACAGATCCTCTGTTTTTCAGAGAGAATTAACATCAGCGCCTGTGTGTTTGGGTTTAACTGATGTTTGTCTCTTCATGGAGCTCCTGTGGTCAGTGGCACGCTCGTTAACAGAGCAGGATGTTTCAGTGACATACAGCAGGGAAAATAAGGATCGAACATGTCACCCATTTCCTGAGTAAATATATTTCTAAAGCTGCTTTTGAATCCACACGTGTGAAGAAATCAAACCATGGACAGAGACAGAGTTTTTAACAACACAGTCTTGGTAATGAAAGAAATCCAGCTGTATATTCTCATATTACCCATTGGAGCTGTTTAATAAACAAATCACGCTGAAGAAACAGAAAAATTAAAGTAGCTTCAAGTTCCAGGAGACAGAGGACAGATTAAAAAGCTCAGATAATGTGTGGATGTTTCATAATGTTCTTCAAAGCTTTAGTGAACATGTTTTCACAGAGATGATGTAAAAGCCCAGAGCTGCCTCAGCTGTTGCTCTGAGTCAGGCTTTCATTGGCCAATTTGAAACCATTCACTGCTGTCACACTAGATGCCACGCAGGCTTTAAAAGTCTATTAATAAAAGTTTATGATCCATTTCTTGTTTTTACTGTCTGCACTCAGGCCTGATCTGTACAGAGCATCTGGGAAGTTTGAGCTCCTCGATCGCATCCTACCGAAGCTCCAGGCCACCAACCACAGAGTGCTGCTGTTCTGCCAGATGACCACTCTCATGACAATCATGGAGGACTATTTCGGATACCGCAACTTTCAGTACTTGCGTCTTGATGGTGAGCTCACACACACATCTGTTTGAGGTGTCCTGAGCTGAGCCTGTGAATCAGGACAAAGGCAGAATCAGCATATTTTAAAGTCCTGAAAGAAGCTGAATGGAAACAGAATCAGATCCTGTCTTTGTTTTGTTGATATGCAGTGAGGGGATTCATGTTGTAGTATCTTTACCTGAGACAGTAAAGCACCTTGTGGTGAGTGCTAGAGCTGCTGGATTATTGCACTGCTCAAGAAAATAAAAGGAACCGTGGAAGTCACACATGGGACTCAATGCACGAATACTCGAGCTGAAAACCTGTACGGATGTTCTTTGTGTCTAATTTACTGAGAGCAAAATGATCGACTTGATTCAAAATCACACCAAATGTCAGAGTTAAAAGCTGAAGTCTCAGGCTGATCAAAGTTGCTCCCACATGGCTGGACGCACTCTCGACAACATCTGGACGTACAACCGATGAGACGGCATGTGGTGTCCTGGGGCATTAGTGAGCCACTGGGTAAACTCTGGTGCTGTTTGGTGGGTTCAGATTCACTGATACATCCCAAAGGTTCTCGAGTCACGTCCTCGTTTCCCACACTGGAGTCTATTCCTTATCAGTCCTCACTGGGTTCTCGCTGGTTCTGCTTTGAGTCACCACCATCACTAGCAGCATATCAAAAACATAACACTTAAATACTGTGGATCAAATGTTTGTGCATGTTTGAGGTTTTCCCCTCTTTGATGCGATCAGTGTTGGGGTCATCGTTAAAAAAAGTAACTGTTGCACATATTGCACAGAACATTTTCTTAAAAGTAATGCAGTACATTACTTAATTTGTTACATTACTTTTGTGCTTCTTCGTAAAATGACATGAAACATCGTCTCATAATTACCATTTAACAATCTAGACATATAGATTACTGTCATACACCAACACAATGAACGATTTTTCTCTTCGTATTTAGGTATGAACACAAACCAAAGATGGAAACCATTATAGAAAGACTTCAAAGCGATCGTCATGGTGATTCTACTTTAGAAACATGAACAGATAGAAACAGGCTTCAGCCTGACGGCTCATCAGTTTGTTACCTGTTGAAGTTCAGGGTCTGGCGGGGGGCTGGAGTCAGCACTCTCTCAGCTTTAAGATCACTCTGGGGTCTTGGCTAGCTTAGCGTTAGCATGCTGTCTGTGCAGGTGCTAGCAAAGAGCTGAAGTTGTGTTAGCAGCATGATGCAGTTGTTTCTGTCCTGGATGCAGTTTCCACTTAAACATCATGCTTCTGTCCTTTTGTGGAATAAGAGGCAAGGCAAGTTTATTTGTATAGCACAATTCAACAACAAGGTGATTCAAAGTGCTTTACAGAGACATTAGAAACAAGAACAAATAAAAAGCATGATTTAAAATTGATTAAAACAAGCAAACAAATAACAATAACTAATTAACAAACAAACAAACAAACAACAGTATATAAAATCAAAACAGATAAAATCAGAACAAGTAGATAAAATCAGTAGTTAAATGTAAGTTTTGAAATTTAAGCTTAAAAGTGTGGATTTGGTGCTTTATTCAAATGCAGCTGAGAACAGGTGAGTCTTCAACCTGGATTTAAATAAACTGAGTGTTTCAGCTGATCTGAGGCTTTCTGGGAGTTTGTTCCAGATATAAGGAGCATAAAAGCTGAATGCAGCTTCTCCGTGTCTGGTTCTGACTCTGGGAACTGATAAAAGACCGGATCCAGATGACCTGAGGGATCTGGAAGGTTCATACTGGGTCAGGAGGTCACTGATGTATTTTGGTCCTAAACCATTCAGAGCTTTATAGCCAGCATCAGGACTTTAAAGTCTATCCTCTGACGTACAGGCAGCCAGTGTAAAGACCTCAGAGCTGGACTGATGTGGTCCACTTTTTTGGTCTTAGTGAGGACTCGAGCAGCAGAGTTCTGAATGAGCTGTAGTTGTCTGACTGATTTTTTAGGTAGACCTGTAAAGATGCTGTTACAGTAATCAAGCCTACTAAAGATGAATGCATGGACTAGTTTTTCCAGGTCCTGTTGAGACATCAGATCTTTTATCCTTGATATATTCTTGAGGTGATAGTAAGCTGATTTGTTATTGTCTTAATGTGTTTTTCTAAGTTTAGGTCTGCATCCATCACTACACCCAAATTTCTCGCCTGGTTTGTGGTTTTTAGGTGTATAGATTGAAGTTCTCTGGTGACCTGTAATCGTTTTTCTTTGGCGCCAAAGACTATTACCTCAGTTTTGTTTTTGTTTAGCTGGAGAAAATTGTGGCACAACCAGTCATTAATTTCCTCAATGCATTTACCAAGAGCCTGTACAGGGCCTCGGTCTCCTGGTGACATTGTGATATATATTTGTGTGTCATCTGCATAGCTGTGATAGTTTATTTTGTTGTTTTTATAATCTGTGCCAGTGGGAGCATGTAGATGTTAAACAGAAGGGGTCCCAAGATGGAACCTTGGGGAACTCCACATGTGATACTTGTCTGCTCAGATGTGAAGTTACCTATTGATACAAAGTATTTCCTGTTTTCTAAGTATGTTTTGAACCAGTTTAGTACAGTTCCTGAAAGACCTGCCCAGTTCTCCAGTCGTTTGAGTAATATGTTGTGGTCAACTGTATCAAATGCTGCACTGAGATCCAGTAAAACTAAGACTGACATTTTTCCACTGTCTGTATTCAGACATATGTCATTAACACTTTGGTCAGAGCGGTTTCAGTGCTGTGGTTCTGTCTAAAACCTGACTGGAAGGCATCGTAGCAGTTATTCTGTTTTAAGAAGTAACTGAGCTGTTGAGAAACTGCTTTTTCAATGATCTTACTTAAAAACGGGAGATTTGAGATCGGCCTGTAGTTGTTCATTTGTGTCTTGTCAAGATTGTCCTTTTTCAGTATAGGTTTGATTACAGCAGTTTTTAGTGATTCTGGAAACACACCTGATAATAAAGAAAAGTTGACGATCTGTAACAGGTCTGACTCTAAAGTCTTTGAGACCTTTTTGAAAAAACTTGTTGGCAGGACATCTAAACAGCAGGAGGAGGAGTTCAGTTGACCTAAGATGTCCTCCAGGTCTTTGCTGTTAATAGGTTGAAACTGTTTCATGGTGTTTAAACAGTTTTTTGGTGGACACAGTACATATCCTGGATCTGCTGTTGATGTACCAATTGCTTGTCTAATTTTTTGGATTTTTTCTGTGAAGAATTTGGCAAAGTCATTGCAGGCCATGGTTGAATGAAGTTCAGCTGCCACTGACACAGGGGGGTTTGTTAGCCTGTCAACTGTGGAAAATAAGACCCGAGCATTATGGCTGTTTTTAGTGATGATGTCAGAGAAGTAGGACCTCCTTGCATTCCTCAGTTGTAAATTATAATTGTGAAGTTTCTCTTTATAAATGTCATAATGAACCTGGAGGTTTGTTTTTCTCCAGGTTTGTTTTCTAAGAGAGTAATGTCTATACAGTGCAGAGTGAGCCACCATTTTCCTTCTCCTGCACACGAACTAGAATGAGCTGATTGTAGCACAGTAAGCTGAATTGATAGGCACACAGATTAACAACTCCAAGGAATCAAACTTACCGGGAACTGCTTCTCTACAAGAACCGGTTGTTGATGCTCATCCCCTGGCAGGGTACCAGTGCCTGCATATGGAGGTCTAAATAACCCTCCAAAAACTTTCCTCCCCAAATCACCACTGACCCACTGCCCTTCATGCTGGATGAAGGTCACGCCACGGCGTCCCCAGACTCTTTGACATCTGTCACAGGCTCAGTTTTGCATCTGTGGAGAGAATGGGGTGCTGTGCCAGACCTGCCAGTTCTCATGATGATCTCAGGTCAAATGAGTTGATCCACACAGTGCTGTCTGTGAGCACATGTCCCACTAAAGGACTCTAGAGCCCCATGCCAACCTCATGAAGTTGGTTTCTGGCGGTTTGGTCCGATATGTGCATGAGTAGCGTGCTGGAGGTCACTTTGTATTGTTAGCTTGCTCTTCCTGTTTGTGTTCACACAAAGGAGCAGATACCAGTCCTGTTGCTGGGTTGATGTCCTGGTGTCTTTTCCACATTCTTCAGAATGTACTGGGAAGCACCAAAAAAAACCTTCTTATAACGGCACATATCGATTTGCCACTCTTGGCGCAGTTGGACGGCCTGTGGAACTTAATTGGGCTGCGGTTATCTCACGCTACCAGCAGTGGAAAAAACAGGCAAAAAGCAGCGTAGAGAAAAAAATAATTCAAGGAATAAGGAGAGGGCAGCGATCTGTGGCCACCACCTGCTAAACCATCCTCTGTTTGGGGGTCTTGTTGTTACCTGCTGTCACTGCGATTTACAACAAAGCATGAAAATCGATTCTTGATGCTTGATGCAGGATGATGTCCATGAGGTTTGCTGTTGCACTGTGATGTGTTTTTGAGTCATGGATTTTGGGCAACACTGAAATTATTAACCAGTACAAATTACAGTTCACAGACTTTAGAAGAACACTTGACTTAATAAACTTAAAAAAACACTTTTGAATTAAATGTGAACCAAACTAACGGCCACGGTCACGGGCAGCATGTTTAGAAAGGCCAACAGTAAATGAAACGCAGCGCATTAGTCACAGTATATTTGTGGGCATTGAGCCCTTTAAATACATTATATGGTGTTTAAAGGACAACTTTCCTGCCTCTGCCATCAGGACTATTTTAATTTGTTGTAACTCAACAACAGCCAGATCCCCGCACGTGCCATCGCAAACAAAAGACGGGTTATTAGCCGCTGGGTCTGGCAGCAGAGACCCGAATCCACTGAGGAGCTGTCATTGATTGATTGATTGATTGATTTTTCCCCCGGGACTCATACTGAAACACAATAGGACGTTTAACTCGATAGCGTATCAGTCTGTTTCCTTGATTTTAGCCTTACTGCAGATTTGTTTTTCCCAGCAGTGGAAACGAAAAGCGTTTCATCAAAAACATCACAAACAGAAAGACTGTCACAGTTGGGCCAATTAAAAAAATAGAAGTTCAATACTTTTGTCTTACTTTGTTAGATATAAAAGCACATTACACACTCCTGTGCTAAACAACACAGTGCAGCCGGTCCTGCTTCACACCAGCTTGCAGTGACTCTGTCTTCGTCTTTTTATGCCTCCATGCTGCTTGGCTGTCCATCTGTCTCGGTGTTTGATGTCCGTCCTCCTCACTCTGATGAAAGCACCACTCTTGCATACTTTGAGGGAAATTCTTGAAATTTAGAAAGTGTTAATTTGCATTAAAAGGAAAGGTCTGTGTTGCAGTGACTTCATGATGTCCTGCAGAAACACTTGGCTGTTATTTAAAGCAATAACCAGAATGAATCTATGGATAGCCCTTCCACTTCCCATTTATGCCCATAAGCCACCAACGGCCGCAGTGAGCTGGAACTAAACAAGCTGTTATAAGGTCAAACCACATATATAAGATACGTTTGGTCAGACGTGGATGTGAAAGGCGGTAAATCACTGATGTGATTTTTGTCTTGGCGTTTTGTGGTGAAGAGTTCTCATCAAATCATTAACAGTTTCAGTCTGCAGTCTGAAGCAGTACATCATTTTGATGCTCAGCATTTCCACTGTCTGCACAGTACAGCAAACTAAATGAAGATGTAAGCCCCTTACTCTGGACCCGTCTCTGGACTTGCCCTTTAGAGACGCCTCTGAAACAGTTTGATTGGTCTGAGATGAGGAGCAGTTTACACACACTGGAGCAAACCAACAGGAAGAACTTCATGCAGACTTCAAACAAAATGATGATGTTTCTTATGATGCAATTGGTTAAAAGACCTACACTATGTAGGTCTTTTAACCTTTTGTTTCTGCTGGTGTAGCCTACATCAGCAGAAACAGAACATATTACAGGATCCCTGTTAGGAGTTAATTCCGTACCACAGATGTTCAGTTCAGGTGATCGGACCCTTCATTATACTAAACCATAACAGGCCTGTTAATGCAGTTATGTTATTTACCTGTGGTGTGTCACACTCTTTGAAGTTATGTGCATCTCTTTCATACACTCTCCGTTTCTCTTGAATGTCTGTTCAGCCTCATTTTGCTTTTAGAAAATGGATTATTATTCATTGTCTCACTTCCTTTTGATGTTTCTGCATTACTGTGTGTATTTGGTTACTTTGTTTTAGGGCTGCTCAATTAATCGAATTTTAATCTAAATTACGATCTGGGCTTTCAACGATCATTAAAAATGAGCCGATGATTAGCACCTCCCTTGTGCTTTACTCTCGCGCTGCTCCGTGCGGCAAATCTGCATTTCGAACACGCGTCACAACAATAAGAGGACCTGAGGGAAGCTCGGAAAGCTAAGCAGAAGTTATTTGGAGAGGAGTGTGACTGCCGTTGGTTGAAAAGAGGTAAAAAAAACCCTTCAGTGGTGTGGAAACATCATGGTTCACGGAGTCAGACGTGGATCAAGTAGACACAGTGTGTAAACTTTGCTACGGTGTCGTAGCTGCACCACAGAGCAACACTGCAAAGTTCACTAAACACAGATGTTTACATTTTTCATTTAATTTTTTATATTGCAAACATTTGCACTGTTATCAGTATTTGCACTATTTTATATTATTTTTGACAATCTTTAAAGTCATTATTCAACACATTGTTATTGTTAAATAAATATCGTCAAATAATCGAGATCTCAATTTCAGTGAAAATAATCGCGATTATCATTTTTGCCATAATCGAGCAGCCCTACTTTGTTTTATGTCTTTAATGCATCTAAGGATTCATTTGATAATGAATTGTATGAGATGGTAAAATAAAAATTCAAAGAATAAAAACAGATTTCGTGTTTCAGGAACCACCAAGTCCGAGGACCGAGCAGCACTGCTGAAGAAATTCAATGAGGAAGGCTCTCAGTACTTCATCTTCCTCCTGAGTACCAGAGCTGGCGGCCTCGGCCTCAACCTGCAGGCTGCTGACACTGTGGTCATCTTCGACAGTGACTGGAACCCACACCAGGTCCATGACTACAGAGTTTGAAGTGCTCAGTATGATGTTGATCATATTTCAGGTTGTATGTCCGTGAAGGTTCTCAGTCATCCAGGTCATCGTAGTCAAAGGAGCTTGCAAATATAAACCTAGTGGGAGTTTCCCCCCACAGAGGGACAAAAGGACCCCTGATGATCCTCTAATCGCCTGAGCCAAGGTGTGAAACTGGGTGTGGGTCCCAATCAGCCAGAGTTTCGGGTGTGATGAGAGGTGAAACGTCTTCAAGCAACTTAAAGAAGTCCAGACACTTTTCTTTGCAAGCTCCTTTGACCATATTTCAGGTTGTTTTGTTAAGTGTGCGTTTACCTGGATTTTATATTTCTGTGTTGTGTTGTAAAAAGATGGCTGTGCCTGTTTTCTATACAAATCCCACAGAGATCAGGTTCTTTCTCCGCTGTACCCACTGCTGCCCTCTAACCAGCCAATCAAAAGCAGGAACGTCAGTGAAAGCGTCCCTGGCCGTCAGCCAATCATTTACAATCTAACAACGAACAAAATGATTCTGTAGCCTAGCAACAATAACAGCAACGATCTGGAAATGAGCTCACGGGCACTCGGTGGAAGAAAGCCCGTAGAAACAAGCTCTATTATAAGAACCATACATACAGTCCTGTGCAGAAGTTTGAGGCAGGTGAGAAAAATGCTGTAAACAAAGAACGCTGCTTTTTTTTAAAGGAAGTGTTAATCATTTATTTTCATCAATGAACAAAATGCAGTGAAATCTAAATCACATCAGTCTTTGGCGGGACCGCCCTTTGCCTTCTTCTACGTACACGTGCACACAGTTTTTGAAGGAACTCAGCTGGTCGGTTGTTCCACCCACAGATGGTCCTCACATCCTGTCTCTTTGTGTAACCCCAGATGCTCTGTGGGGGCCGTACCATCACTCCCAGTACTTCTTGATCTTCTTTATGCTGAAGATAGTTCTTAATGACTTTGGCTGTGTGTTTGGGCTCGTTGTCCTGCTGCAGAACACATTTGGGGCCAAAAAACAATCATTTATATTTCTGAAAGCGTTCTTTGTTTACAGCGTTTTTCACACCTGCCTAAAACCTTTGCACAGTGCTGTATGTTGAAGCAAACACATGAAGAAGACGCCATAATACAGTAACTGGAACAAAGTGTTCATCTTCATTTCCAAGGTGCGTTTGGTACTTCCAGTGAGGACGTAGCTCTGTTTTCCAGCTTTAGCTTGTCCAGCGCCAGCCGGAAGTTTATTAAACCTCAAATTTACAAAAAGTGAAATAATTAAGTGACTCAAATATTAAATAAATTATTTCCCTTTGCTTTCTGGCTCCAAAGGTTTCCAGTGATATGCAAATCAGATGAACTGTGCCTGGCTTCATATCTTATTGATACCCCACTACATTGATTTGTGACAGGGTTGACAACTAATCCATTTTGACTTTGGCGAGAATCATTGATTAATTTTTAAAATGGCATCGGGTTGTGAAGCAGCCCGCAGCTTGACTCCAGATGAATTTCACAGAGTGGACCGTGGGAGGCGATGGCTTTGGTATCGCGTCAGGTGCTACTGTTGAGTTTTTCCGGTGTTTTCAGGAGAGTTGGAACAGTTGGAACAGAGACGGTGCTGTTAGCCTGGCTGTCGGGCTGACAGTCATTCGTGTTGTCTCAGTGGTTCAGTAGAGTTTGTTTCCAGCTTTAATGTAAAACAGCCTCCTTTATGTTGATGCAGGACCTTCAGGCTCAGGACCGGGCTCACCGCATCGGCCAGCAGAACGAGGTGCGCGTGCTTCGTCTCTGCACTGTCAACAGCGTCGAAGAGAAAATCTTGGCTGCTGCCAAATACAAACTGAACGTTGATCAGAAGGTCATCCAGGCCGGCATGTTTGACCAGAAGTCGTCGGGCCACGAGCGCCGCGTCTTTCTCCAGGCCATCTTGGAGCACGAGGAGCAGAACGAGGTAGGATCGTATTTCCATATGTTGTTGTTTGTCTCCAAGACAGCATCGTTTGGGGAAGAAGATGAGGTGTTATATTTTTTACATGACTCTTCCCTGAACATTTGGTCTTCAGTTAAATTATGCTTTGGTTTAATAGAACTACTGCAGGCTCGGATGACTCCTTTGATACGAGTTATTCATCCTTTTAATATCCCAGCACAGTTGCACAGTGCAACCGTGGCAAAAAGTTAGTCTAGAGCCCTGTTCCAGGGTTTAGTAATCGCTTTAGTTTCATTTCCTGTGGCGGCTGATTAAAATTTGTAAACCATACTTGATTTGAGCTGAACGTGAGATGATTGTGTTTCACTTGTGAAGAACACTGTCTGCTAACACCTGCCTCCTTTGCTATTTTAGGAGGAAGATGAGGTGCCTGATGATGAAACTCTGAACCAGATGATAGCCCGCAATGAGGATGAATTTGAGCTCTTCATGGTAAGATAACTAATCATTGCGAGATTGAAAGTAAAATTGCCATTTCGATGTAAAATTGTTGAAATGACAGGTGTTACAATATTAATTCACCCAAAATAGAGAAGCTGGTTCTTTCACATCTGTAAGACAAATTGATTATAGGTTCATGTCAAGGCTGTTTGTGTGGTTAAATGTCACCTGTACTGAGGCCCGTCCCCTGCCAGATGCTGCCTTTTGCACGATAAATTAATTTAAGACCAGTTGATGCGGGGAGTGTGAATCTGGAGTGATTCAGAGGACACCGCATAGCAGTTTCACTCTTTGCTACTCATCATGGTCCTCTGTGTTGGCTCAGCGTATCACTAAGATCACATTTTTAATGTTTCTTTTTTTTTTTTAGATTCTCACCACATAAGCTCGGCCTCCTGCGATTTTCATTGGTCTCTGAACTCTTCCTAGAAGCGAGTCGAGCCACTGAGCAGCCATCTGTTTGTAAAACTTGTTATTACAGCGGGCACCAGGACAAAGACCTTCAGATAGATTCCACAGTTTAATCTGCACAAGAAAGCTGCTCTGTTTTGGTGACTGTAATCTAAGTGAAATGTAAAAATACCTTCTTCTCCTGACTTCTGCAAACTCTCATAACACAACATTACTTCCTGGCAGCTCTAAAAACTCCCTAAAAGCCTCCAGCTGATCCAAAATGCTGCAGTGAAGCTATGAATAAGGACTAAGACTGTTTCTTCCATATCAGCCTCTCATTCAGTCGAGGGCTGGGCGACATGAAGACAATCTAACATCGCGATATTTGTTATCTGTATCGCGATACACGATATGTTTAAGTAGAAACTCAACTCGTATTCTGTCGCCCGGGTTACTGAAGTTTCCACCACTGGTGCAGAAAGCCTAAAGCATTCAGAGTTGTGTGTTTCACTCTAACCTGATGTGTGTTTCCTGTTCTTGCCGTCTAAGCGCATGGACATGGACCGGCGCAGGGAGGATGCTAGGAACCCAAAGCGTAAGCCTCGCCTAATGGAGGAGGACGAGCTGCCTTCTTGGATCATCAAAGACGACGCCGAAGTGGAGCGGCTCACCTACGAAGAGGAGGAGGAGAAGATGTTTGGTCGAGGGTCTCGCTGCCGTCGGGACGTGGACTACAGCGACACGCTGACTGAAAAACAGTGGCTGCGGGTAAAAACGTGTTTCGTTATCATGTCAGCCTCAGTCTCCACGCTGCAGCCAAGTTAGAGGGTTTGTGTTTTCCCTGCAGCTTCACCTGGAACCTCAGCAGTTAATTATACGGTCATAGGTGATAAATGTGATTCACATGAACTCGACTGGGTAATTAAATATTTATAATTAGTCTCTGTGCTTCACACCACACTTGTATTTAGTCTCTCAGTGGATGAAGATTGCAGTCGAACATGCAGTCTGCTGTTGTCCTTGTTGAAGACTGCCATCAACCTGCAGTTTGATTACTCTGGTTTATTTTATATTATGTGGGTGGATCTGCTTCTACTGCCGCATCACAAACAGGCTTTCTATTCCTCCTAAGGAAGTATCTACAGGTGTGACAGGAAGTATAACACACAGGTGGCTTATCTACCAGCAGTAGTTTTTTACCCCTCTGTAAAAGGCTGATGAGGTATTGTTGTCTCACTGCCGGACACACGATGTGGAAGCCCAAACCTGTCAATGCGATAACTCGAGAACTAAGCAGCATAGGCGTTTCAAACTGATACGTGATTGGTGTGTCTCTGCGACCTTGGCCTCGAGGTCAGGCGCCGCAGGTCACGTTTTCTGAAAATGTTGTGAATGCGATAACTCGAGAACAAAGTGATGTAGGAGTTTGAAGTCTCAGTAACCTCGGCCTCAAGGTTGTGACTTAGAATTTCAAATGAATACCATAGATGTGTCGACAAGAAGGCTGAGGAGTCGCACTGGCCACTGCCAGCATTTTTAGAAATACTGTAAAGCAGACAGGTAAGTTAAAAGTGCCTCACTAATGACAGTACTCTTTAATAATATATATATATGCAAGTAACAGTTTAACCTAAGTCTCATTATGGCTGCATGCTGTAGTTTTGCTTGATTTGATGCTAAAGGCACCGATTCACACTCAGCAAATAAAGTGTGACATGTTCCCTGGAGAGAGAAACTCAGATCCGTTTTATTGACTTCAGCGCAGTTCTGTGGGAGAACGAAAATAGAAAGAAGAAAGTTTCAGGCCAAGGTGAGAATATATTGAAACACTGTCAACTGAGTTTCAGACAAACGTTAATTAAAAGAAAACGACTTAAACTTTTAGGCTTAAACTTTTAAGCAATATAACAAAGCTAGAGGTGTGATGTACATAGAAGTCGTTTGTCAGGGAGCAAAGCGTCCCCCAACTCAAATGGTTTGAGTCATATAAAATATCAACAAGTACTGAGTGAATTTCAAAATATGAACGTTGTATACATTGACAGGCCTGTTTCCAAAGGCAGTCATTGGCTAAACCTTTTATTCAGTTCAGTTCTATTTTATATAAATTCAGTTGAATTGATTGCAGTGAATCAAAAGAACAATCGCCTCTCTGCACTTTATGTTGTGAGGTTAAGAACCTAGAGTAACAAATCACACGGCCCTCTATGAGCACTTGGCAACAGTGGGAAGGAAGAACTTCCTTTGAACAGGAAGAAGCTTCCAAGTGAACCAGGCTGAAGGATGAGGGGAGGGAGGCAGGACAAAAGACACACTGGGTATGTAAATATTTTACTGATGAAGCTGTATGATTAAAGGGTCCAACAGCTGATGGGTATTGAATAGCGGGTGCGACACAAAGGATGCAGTTTGGCATGGTTTTGCTTAGATAAGCAGGGTCTTCCTGAAAAAGGTTTCTGCAGTCGGGCAGCATATGTTGGTCCTACAGTGTAACAGCATGCACCACTGATAATCTCTGAATCTTTGCAACGAGAATTGTTTTTGATTGTTGAGATACTTGCTGTAGGCTTGACCTCAGCTCCGCTGTGGCTCTTTTCACGTTTTAGGCGATTGAAGATGGAAACCTGGAGGAGATGGAGGAGGAGATCCGGCTGAAAAAGCGCAAACGCAAAAGACGTCAGGACAAGGACTCCGGCAGAGAGGACGGAGGCGCGAAGGCCAAGAAGAGACGTGGACGACCGCCAGCAGAGAAGCTGTCCCCCAACCCGCCCAAACTCACCAAGCAAATGAACGCCATCATTGATACAGTGATCAACTACAGAGACGGGTGAGATCATCCAGAGACTTGCTGCATGTTTGAGATAACGTATCATACAGTTAATATACCAGCAATTCATCTTTCCATTGTACAACCATTCAGGAAAAATAGCATCAAACAGGTGTTTCACATCAAACAGGTGTTTCACATCAAACAGGTGTTTCACATCAAACAGGTGTTTCACATCAAACAGGCCTTTTGGGATGAATGAAACGAGTCTAATAATTGGCTGGATGATGTATATAATAGCTGATCTGATTAGACACTCTAGTAACTCCGTGTTCAGTGTTATTTCCATAGCATATAACATATGGAAGCGAACACGTTATAAAGTTGAGTAGAACATTAGCTAAAAGCCCCTGTGGTTATAGAGGAAGGTCCAAATAGGTTCTTACCAAATGAGAGGACTTTAAATAAAGCACTGCCTTATTTTTCATTTCACACCAGCAGCATTAAAGCTGTTAAAACTTTAATTACAGTTGTACTCTCTCCATTCAGAGCGGGCCTTCTGAAACACTAGACAACCTTCTTATGCATATATTTATTTCTTCAGAGCTGTGCAGCATAATTCATTTAGCTCCGGAGCTGCAAAGAAACACAAGAATGCGTGCCAGATTACATTTGGCTTTCTGAAAGGTACAAATGGTTATAGGAGTGGAGCAGTGGGCTTATCCTGTGGAGACTCCGAGGAAGGAATAAAATTACTTACATAGCAAATATAGGAGGAGGACCCTCCAGTCTTGGGGTGACTGGGACTAACACCTGATTTGTAGCAGAGGAAAGTGTTCCTTTAAGTTCTTTTATCAACACATATTAAGGTTTTGTTTTTGTGGTTGTCTTTTGTTTGCAAGCGAGCGAGCTGCTGCTGTCAAACTTAAATCGATAGATTGGCCAACAGATCATGCCGTGGTCATCGATATCCAAACCAAGTCCCTCATAAAGGCAGCAGGGACGGTGGGGAAACCAACCAGAGGAAGAGCTGATTCAGCATGTGTTAAAAATCTAGCTAACGAGGAGCTCGGTGCTTGAGGAGCGTCACCCTCAGTACATGAACTGACCTGAGAAGGTTAACTTGTCGTGGTTACAGTAAAATTTACGTTTGCATGCAAAAAGGTGGCCCCGTTTGCGAGAGTGTAGCAAATAGTGGCGTGACTATCCACTGGAAAGTACAGCCTTCTCGCTGGTCGGCACGGTGAAAATGAGCAGACGTGAGGTAATGTCTGAGAAACGGGAACCTCGCATTGGTTCTTCCCAACAAGCCAAAGAAAATAAGTCTGATTTGTTGTGTCTGGATACTTTCTCTTTTGCCCACATGCAGAGTCACGAGCATGCATCTCCCTGTGACATCCACCCATGCATGACAGAACATATGCATTTGTGTTCACGTTGCTCTGAAGTGCACTGGCTCACTGCTCGGCTGAAGCTTTTCCAGGAAACTGCTACCTGCCGTTCCAGAAGTCGAATTCTTTCCTCTCCCTGTTGATGGTTGTTCTTCCCAGAGCATCTCAATCACGACTCTGGCGCTGCTCTCTCCACACTTGACTGGGGCAGAATTTGAAATTTCCAGTGCATGACTTTGGATCCCTGGGTTACAGTGATGTTTCCTAATAAAACAAGTGTGACTCCGCATTGCTTAAAGCAAATGCGGGCGGAGTTCAAGCTGTTGCTGAAATGTAATAAATGCTTATCTCCTCAGTGGAGGCAGCAGCAGCAACCAGGAAGCAGGTTAAGGCTTGTTTGGCAACACCTGTGGTTTCCAAGTATGATGTGTCACGCACAGAACAATTGGTTTCTAAATCAATAGTTTTTCCATCAAGAAGCTTCACCGTCACATTTCCACTCCAACCCCAGCTCTTTGATGGGAGTCAGCAGTTGAGTGTGTTTCCTAAAGTCTTTGTTGCTGGGCTTGACAGGCGTCATACATCAAAGATATTAAACCCGTGCTGAACCCTCCGTCCATCCCTGTGGTTTCAGTTCACGCAGCACAGTCTGACGCACCGAGCTGCCACATTCAGGAGCCTTGAAGCTCAGCTGTTCTGCTGCTTGCGTTATTGTGACTGTTTTTGGCTGCTTTGTCGAAATAAAGTTATCCATTTATTTTCCTGATGTCACACACCGGACAGCTCAAGTTAATCCAAAGTGTTTAAATGTTAATTGTGAGCCCTTTGGATTCAGGCAGCTGAGCGAGAACAGTGGAAACGCTGTCCGATGATTGATGCTGTGGAACGTCATCTCTTAGTTGCTTGTATTTCTTCCCCTTGAACTCCTAAATTAATGACTGCAGATTTGAGATTTCAGTATTTTTCCTTCTGATTAAGAGCTGGCCTGGTATAAAATGATTGATGAAGCCACAAGGAGATCCTTAAAAATAATCCCACATGTTGAAATGTTAGTGTTTCTGCCAAGTCTCTGTACACAAAAAGAAGGGAAGTCAGTGCTGGCAGAATCTAACAGATGATATCGGACATTTGAGAGAAAAATGGCGTGTGTGCTTTCTTACAAATGCAGATGAGTTGATCTTAGTGACAGGAGCAAGCTGGGTTCTCCTCATCCTCCTTATCTCTCTTTTCTATTTTCACAAACTCTGGAGAAACTGCAGGTAAAGACGCCGCCGTCGGTCTTCGTGCACACCGTTACCGCAGGCTCACTGCTGCAGCTGTGTGTTGGATATCGCTTCAGAAGACTCAACAGATCTAGTTCATAATTATTGCCTTAAATATCATCTAGCAGGAAAATAAGTGGGTATATCAGGGTGTAAAATACTACCGGATACTTTGAGTGAAGTTTGATTACTGCTGGCATTTTACTTTCTGTGTTCAGAGAGGGCCTCAGTACTCGGGGTATCTGTGAAAACAGCTCGCACGTCAGACGGTTTCAGGAGCTAACCTGTCACAGCTCTGCGCTTGCTTCGTTTTTCCCTCCTGATCTCCAACTTCACTTCTTTCTGATTCTTGGCACTCTGAGATCCTTCCAACTGTTCTTTGCTTTGCTAACTTTAAACTCACCCAAACACTTGTTATTTCTGGCCATTTGATAAAGTAATATTTTAGCATCTGAAGCCCGACTTCTAATCTAACTGCTTTAAGATGAATTTTGTTCCAGCTCTGGTGGTTTTGCTTTGGGGGAAAGCCAAAACCTCTCTGATGGGAAGTAATGTTTCTGTGTTCAGGAGAATAAAAGTCTTTGGTAGTTCTTTTTGCAGTAGTCACTTTATCAATCATGTGTAGAAGAATATGAACCTCTCTGACAGGAGTGACGCAGACACTGATGCTGATGATTGTGATCAGCGTAAATCACAGTAATTAACTTCTCCCTTCGTTAAAGTCATTATTAGTTCTCCTTTTTCTAAGTTTGCTGTTCAGTCTGACAAAATGTTATATCTCACTTCTCCATGTGCTGGGCCCTCAGCTAAAGGTAAAAAGACCCCACAGTACAAGAGAGACGTCGATACAATTAGATGATTTAATGTGAGCAGCACTTGGCGATAGTGGGAAGCAAAAACCTCCAGGTGGCTCAGGTATGGTCAGCCATCTGCCGTGACCAGTTGTAGGGTCAAGAAGGAGACAATAGATCAGGGGTGGGCAACTCCAGGCCTCGAGGGCCGGTGTCTGCAGGTTTTAGATGTGTCCCTGATCCAACACAGCTGATTTAAATGTCTTTAAGCTCTCCAGAGGCCTGGTAACGAACTAATCGTGTGATCGAGGCCTGGAGCTCCCCACCCTGCCATAGAGAGATAAAAACAAAACACACTATGTGAGAGAAATGACAAATGCTGAGGGGAAAATAAACATGCATGTTTAAAAGAGGAGAGGCGTGAAGAAATGTCTGAACCTGTGTCAGTGTAACTGAGGGTCACCTGATCCAGGTTTAACTTTGTGCTTCATCAACGTTTAAAGTGTCCAAGCTGGGAGCTGCTGCAGAGGAGAGGGGCCTGAAAGCAGAAAGCAATAACTGCCACAGTGATGTGGATCTTAAAATATTAATGGTGTCCTTAAATGAGACCTAAAGTAACATTTACACCCAGTTGGTCTCGTTTTATTAGAAACACTACAGCAGTCTGACCGCAGCATCCGTCCCACGAGGCTTTTTGTTGCAGCGCTGTGATGACTGTTGGTCTGTGATAGAAAGCACCGGCAGTGTTGGTGTGCAGTAGAGTTTGACGGCATACAAACTGCTATTTTTGTTTTTCCAGCTCTGGAAGGCAACTCAGTGAAGTGTTTGTCCAGCTTCCATCCAGGAAGGAACTCCCAGAATATTACGAACTGATCCGAAAACCTGTGGACTTCAAAAAAATCAAGGTTTGTGATCTAAGATGATCCATTCATTTGTGCAAAGGAGGGACAGGTTAGTGGGAAAGAAAGGGCTGAAAATTATAACTCCAGGTCCTTTAATAGAAGAGAATACTCAGTAAGATGAGAAACTCCTCAAATGTATTTAAAAGATCAAAGAAGTTTCTGTTTGTGGTAATCTATTAGTTTTAATTTAGTTCCAACAGTTTTTGGTATTTAACAATCAGCTCTTTTCTCTGTTACTCGAATAGTCCGGTAAATTCACCGTCCGTGGAGCTTCGTGTCATGATGGATTTGAAAGGAAGGGCAGACGGTGAAGCTTGACGTCGGTGTAGTTTAAGGTTGTGCGACCTGTGTGGATGTAGGCGTCGCTCAGTGCCGCTGTTTTGTTTTTGTCTTTCAACAGGAACGTGTGAGAAACCATAAATACAGGAACGTGGGGGACCTGGAGAAGGACGTGATGCTGCTCTGTCAAAACGCACAGACCTTCAACTTGGAGGGATCCCAGGTCAGAAACCCTGCTGTGGAACTCTCTTCATTTTCCTGCTCATCTCCGGGGCTTTGTTGGTACTCCGGGACTTCTCTAGAATAGCTTTATATATTTATATATGGTTAGAATGATTGTGTGTAGGCGGGGCCAGCTGTTTGGTCGGTGACGGGCTTTCCCCTGAGAATCTTGGCTAGACGGAGCTCGGCGTTGCTTTGATCGGCTCCTGTTCTGTCGGACTCGAGCTCGTTTGCAAACACATGGTGTTATAGTTATTAGCACTGAGCTAGCCTAAAATGAACTGTACACCCCCCCGCAGATATACGAGGACTCCATCGTTCTTCAGTCTGTTTTCAAGAGCGCCAGACAGAAGATCGCCAAGGACGATGACAGCGATGACGACAGTGAGGAGGAGGAGGAGGACGACGACGATGACTCAGAGGCCGAGGGTGAGACGCACTTTGTGGCTACGCATACCAACACACACACACACCAGAGACCTTTTCTTGTCTCATTGAAATTCTTCTCAGTGCAAACCCGGCGACCGCTGCTCGGGTTTTATATTCATCGCAGCGGGAGCCCCGTGCACTGCTGCTGACAGACGAAAGTGATGTTTTAGACATAGGAGTGAGTCATTATTAAGGGAGGACATTTATTGTGAAATGTTAAAAAGCATTTAAAACCACGAACTACAGCTGATGTGCAGTAATGACACCTGAGAGATTGAGTATCAACACAAATCCCTGACAGCCCTGCATTAGAAACGGCCTCCAGCATAAAAATCTACCATGTCAGCTAAACGTTCAACAAATAGTTTCGTTTCTAACATGTTTGGTTAAACAGGATGTCGTAGCTTTTATTCTCAAACATGCTGAAGGGAAACGGTGCAAGACTGTTCACATTTCTCCCGTGTTTCAGCCAAGTCAGTGCGGGTAAAGATCAAGCTGAGCAGGGAGGCACGCGGCCACGACAAAGGCAAGAAGAGGCAGAGCCGAGGGAAGGCCAAGCCGGTGGTCAGCGACGACGACAGCGACGAGGACCAGGATGATAATGTAGGTTGTAAAATAATTGTACTTATGTTGCCGACACAGGTGGTTCAGGTCCATCAGCAGCTGTTGGCTGGCATTAAATCTTCTGTAGAATAAAAGGATAAAACTTGTAGTGTACTTATGTGAAACCAAATGAGCACATGCTAAAGCTTATGTAGATAATGACGTTCAGTTCGCTATATTTCCCGGTACTATCCGCCTTCTGCTGTTCAGCCTCCGCTTCACTCAGTAATGTGAAATTAAAGCTGTGCAGGCACCACGTCTGTGCCCACTATCAAATACACCTTGTATCCTCCCCTCTCCTCTTTCTTTCTGCTCCTTTGTCTGTTCTATGCGGGAATAAAACCACGATGAGGCCACATAAACGCCGTTCTGTGGTTACAAACTATAGAAGTTTCTCCTGAAGTTAGCTCGGTGTTAGCTCGGTACAGCAGCAGGAATAAGACGTAGCACATACAGGCAGCTTCAGCCACTCACACAGGGAAAAGCTTCAAAGTTTCATTGATCTTGTGGGATGAGATTTTGAAGATTTTAACTTCTTTGTAAATCGTCTGATGCAATCACACTCAAAGTCTTTGAAGACCATCTTCCAAATTCACTGTTTACTCGCGTCATATAGAGTGAGCTTCCCCTGGCTTTGGTCTCATATACCGACAGTCACAAAGCTCCGTGAAGCACCCTTTAATTCCTCGTCAGCTAGCACGTCTTTTATCTGCGTTGATGTGGCGTTTGCCGCTCATTTAAAAGCCAAATCGCACATCTAAAGACCCAAAGGACCATCAGAAGGATGTAAATGAGTCCTAAATATTTCTTAAACATGGTTTACGGAGCATGTTTGTGAAGCAGAGTGTAACAGGTGCATGTAGAAACCACACGTTTATATTCTCCATTTATTGTGCGATACTGTGAGAACGAGGCGATGTAGGACTTTCAGTTGATACCGTAGGTGAACGTACTAAAAATCTTGAATTAGTTTGAATCCCAGTGACCTTGACTTCAAGGTCAGAGGTCAACTTTTATACCATGGGTGCATCTACTGGGAGGCCGGGGGTGGCCCTGGCACCTCACTGCTGCCAGCTAAACCTGATTGACTTACCCTGGTCTGAAGTTTATTTTATTTTCATCTGTCTTTTTCCATAAATAATGAAATAATAATGGATTGCATTTATATAGCACTTTTCAGGGCCCTCAAAGCGCTTTACAATACCACTATTCATTCACTCTCACATTCACACACTGGTGGAGGCAGCTACAGTTGTAGCCACAGCTGCCCTGGGGCAGACTGACAGAAGCGAGGCTGCCATATCGCGCCATCGGCCCCTCTGGCCAACACCAGTAGGCGGTAGGTGAAGTGTCTTGCCCAAGGACACAACGACCGAGACTGTCCGAGCCGGGGCTCGAATCGGCGACCTTCTGGTTACAAGACGAACTCCCAACTCTTTGAGCCACGATCGCCCTGTAAAGTCATCAAACTACAGCCAAAATGTTACTGATGCTGGAACTAAGCGAGCAGTGTTTTCCTGGGCTCACACGACAGTCGTCACTGAGTCAGGCGCGTTTCATCTAACAAGTTGATTCTTCACAACAATTATTTGACATTTTTATTTTTTAATCATGGACATCATTAGGCTGATATTGTGTGGTCTCAACCCGACATAAAGGAAGTTCGTGGGTCGCTCTGTAGGATCCGAGGAACGTTTCCATCAGCAGCCAGTTGAAACGCAGTATAAGGGACTCTGCATTATTCATTACGTGTGGCTCCACGTTCACTTACAGTCAGTAAGAGTTGGCTGAGGAATGCTGATTTTATGTGAACAGCTTCAGAGAACAGACGAGTGTCGCAGGAAATCTGACCAAGTTTTAGTGAATAAAAATGCAGCTTTTTATTACAAACATCATGAAAGCCTTTAAATCTGTCTCACTGGATCTGCACGACTGTTTTCAATCCAGCTTAAGAGCAACAACGTTGGGTTTTAACGTGATTACATGTCAGCGTTTGCACCACCTTCATATTATACATGCCTCAGTGCAGTGCTTCTCCATCATTTTCTGTTACGCCCCCCTGAGGAAGAAGAAAACATTTCACGCCCCGCCCACTCTCCCCTGTCTCTATAAATAGTATCATTTGTCTATAAAATTGTTATTATAAGTACATTTCTGCATAACATTGTATCCTTATTAACATTAAAGAAAGCATAAAAGAAAGAAATATAGATCAACTTAAAACAAAGACTAACAATGTTGTTTAGTCTGTAACAGGAAGGATTTAAGTACATGTAGTAGTACTGCGACTCTCTAAACTACTGCAGACAAAGTGCATCGATTTGCCTGGAATATAAAAACATCCTTCTTCAAACTATAAACATTTTTTGAACCATTTGATTCTGAAAAATAAAATTAAACAAAATCAATAAATACATTTAAATTGATCTGCAACATTAACTGCTCAAGTAAAGTACAGATCCTAAGAACGCTGCCACCTACTGTAGCGGATGTGCAATTACACTGTATGCCGGTCCGTGTTCCCCGGGCGGGGGCACTATTTGAGAAGGACCGTCTTAGTGTATTTTTCAGCGTAAGTGAGCAGCTTACCTTTGTCCAGGTGTTGCATCAGTGTTTGTATTTATGATGCTGAGTGTTTGAGTGTCTTATGTTGGCTGAGCTCGGAGCCTTCACGTTACTCCGTGAATATGAATGCAGCGATTTCATCAGCTGTCTGCCGGCCGTGGTGGGAGCACACTCTGCCCTGACGGAGTCTGTTCAAAGGACCGCCTTGTCTGACTCGCCTCACTCCTTCACTGCTCTCCTCGTTAGCCTCAGAACAGGGAAAGACGTGAAGACCGCCCGTCCCACCTCTTTTTCCTCCGGAGAGCTTTCTTATTTCAACGTTGTTGTGTTGCAACAGGCCGCTCTGCCTCTCGTTGCTGCTTCGCTGCATCCTCTTCCTCGTTCTTAACACTCTTCTTCTCTTTGTCTCTGCAGGATCAATCAGACAAGAGCAAAAGTGATGACGAGTGACGAAGGAGAAGCAAGGGCGCGAGGATATTGTTTACAGCACTTAGAAACAAAGGACAATATCTTCCATTGCTGTTGTTCAGGTTCATGTTCCTTAAACTTTGCTCCATGTCTTCTGTGTGTGTCTGTAGGGTGTGTTCTCATCTCCCACCAGCTTAGAAATGTATTACTTACAATCGATAGCATACAGCAATACCAATCAGCTTATATTTCTCTTTTTAAGACAATTTTGTAGTATATTTTTTAACTACGTGCTTTAACAAAACACAAAATGTACAAAAAAGAAAAACACACATTGGTCATCCTATTTGCGCTTTTGCTTTGTTTGTAATCGCTTGCTTGCACTTTAAAAAAAACCTTCAGTATCCTGATTTTTAAAAAGTCAAGTAAAACAAAAATATGTATCACCAGTGAAATCAAAGCTAATTTGGAGAAATGGCAGTCAGTTTTTTAAGTTTTGGATTCATTGTTTTTAACGTGTGCCGTGCCAAATGTAGACAAACTGACCGTTAGCTTAACCCCTCCCACACGCAGCATCTGTCCAATCACAGCTAGGCTTTTTTAAGCTTGTATGAAATAAATATAAAAGTAAGTAAAAGATTTAATAGTTATCTGCCTCAGTGTGTAGATTAAACACGCTGTCAGCGTGTTTAAAGAAGCTAACACCTGCTAACTGGCCCAGGCTGAGGTGGGGTGAGTGGACACGTGTAAAGAGCCTGGTGGAAGACTGAGTCATTCGCTGGACAGCGTTTGGAACAGTCTGTGTCGCGTGTTGTAGCTCATGTGGACAAGTCCACAGTCCAGTCCAAGTCCTCAAACTGTTGAAAGCTGGGCTCACGTCTGTGTTAGCATGTAGACCACAGTCTGTGTGTCACAGATGAGTCCACAGTTACGACACTTTCTCTCAGAACTGTAAAGGATGCAGTGGAGAAACCCAAAGTTCACTTCTGCTGTTCATCGTAGAACAATCCAGTTAAATCTCATGGTTTAGTCTAGAAATGGGCAGAAGTGTCAGGCAATGAAGGCTTTCTCTGTTTGTCGTGGACCAACGTGGGTTAGGGTTCTTTCACCTGCCCCAGGGAGCGCTTGCATCTTAAAGGAGGAGAACTCCCGCAGGACTCACATTGAGGCAAACTTTTCTTGACAAGTGGCAAAATGAGAGATGTTGATTTCATTGTGGTGCAAACAGCCCACAGCCACTTTGACCTGGTAGAGGCCACTAACTACTTTAATCCAGCGTCTCCCTCGGGCTGCACATCAGTCTGTGGAGATGCACTTTTGTCTCTTATCTGGGACTTCCTCGAACTCAATTATCTCTTCAGCCTCTTTATCTTTCCTCACGTGCACATCCTCGCTGTTATTACCATCAGTGACTGAGGGCTCTGTAAATGTGATATGTCAGCTCAGTCTCAGTCCTGCAGCAGCGGCCGGCTCGCTGAGTAGCACAGCGTACTGCTGCAACATCAGGAACAGCTGTGCGCTTCATCAAACATTCACACACACCTGATTACTTATTTACCTACAGTAACAGGACATTATATAGATCACAGGCATTTTAGTCATCACAAATGTACATATTAATCAGCCTCTGAGCCTGACACTGAGGCACGCAGACCCTCACGATCAAATCTCTTTGTGTTCTGTCATTACGTTACAGTTCACACAAGGCCTGTTCTCTGCTTTCTGCTCCATCAGCCCCACCTTAAAGCTTCCTCCTGCTCTCTCCCAAAGCAGCATGTCGGCTGCTGTCCTCCACCTCCTGCTCTCCTACATCTCGCTCTTCATTAGCTACAGCTGCCTCCTTTCTGTCACCTCCCACAGAATCTGTGGAAATATGAAAACAGAGACTGTAACACTGGGCCAATTATTAGCGTGTGTTTCCTTTGGCCTGTAGGTACTCTGTTGTGCTGTTACCGTTGGTCCAGCATGTCTTTGAACCTCCTTAGGAGCGGGCTTTTTGAGTCTTTGGAACTAACAGAATTGTTTTCATTGGTTTGAACAGTCGATAAATGCTGAGCAGCTGCTGATAGATGTCTTTGTAGCTGTGTGGTGTGAGGGGTTCCCCGAACAGTCTCACAGTGTCACTGCCCTTACTGTTTGGCCCCGTCATCACTTTACAACAGTGATTCACTGTTAGGTTCCCATTGCTGCAGGGCAGAACACGCTCTACTGCATGCTGCAAACAAGCAATCTGTCCGTACTTTGAAGAAGAAAGTACTTTTAGAAGAACATGATTTGGTTGCATGTGGGCTCTGTAAGGGAAAGCCAACACATAACCACTAAACAGCAACTTACAGAGCAGTTTTGCTGTTAGCCCAGCAGTTACAGCCACACTGAGTGACTGTGACTGTTAGACTGAGTGAGTAGTGTAAATTTCACGATATGTTTAGACTGTTTGGACATTAGAAGACTAACTGCTTCCTCTGATTCTCCCTGGAGACCTGATGCCATGTTATCAGTTTGCAGAGATACAAATGGCGTTCTTAGCTTCTGAAGTGCTCAGCTGTGTCCCTGCATCACCTCCATCAAACTGTTCACACGTTTAGTTAAAGATCGGCACCTTGAGCCTGCCTGCACATTGAGATATAGACTCTCTGCATCAGCTTTTGGTTTTTAAAAGGGAACATTTGTTTCTTTCAAGGTATTTAAAATCATCCTGTAGATATTTCTAAATACCTGGGATGTTATAATACTGTGATATCACCAAGGCCTCATGTACAGAGACGCCATGTCCCTGCTGTAACTTAAATATCCAAACAAAATAAAAACGCTCTTTAAATACTCGCTAAGAACTTTTTGGATTAGCTGGCGGGAGCAGAGCTGTACTCGTGTGTCTATGCGTTCACCTCATGTCGAAGCTTTACAGTTGCAGTAACGGTAACAGGAGGGCGGGGCTTAGCAGACGGTCAGCAACGCGATTACACGATTGTGAAAGCACAGGCAGATAAAAACGTGCGTCTGTAGCTGACAGATGAACTTGACACAGCCAGAAATGTCCGACGCTTTTTTAACCGCTTCTAGTAAGACAAATATAATCGCACATGATTAGGGAGGTGCACGTGGTTCATGTGTCCTTCCTCTGATGTTTTTAACATTTTCTGTATCACAGCGTTGTCGCATTAATTTTCTCGTTTTGTTGGAGTTATTTTCTACGTAGAAAGCTCGTGTCAGACAGCGGGTTCACGGGGAAACATCTCACTTCGGGGAATGAAACCAGATTCTGTCGTAGCGCTAAATGTAGCGTCTGAATACATGTTACAGTCGTTTTGCAAAAAAATAGAAAATGAAATCATAAAAATCTGAAAAATAAGTGTAACAAACCGAGTCTGACGGGTTGTGACGGCCTGAATTACTACAAAGAAAACAGTATTATGAGATTAATGAGACGTGTCGGTTTGTTTCAGGTGTTCGTGTTCCTTGTGAATTAGTTCTAAACCCTCATTTTATTGTTTATGTGTTATTTGTAGCATGCACTCTTGACAGTATACCGTGCACATGCAGATATATCATTTTTGTGTAATATGTGCTTGCCGATTCTCCGTAAGTGTGACTTAATCTTTGCTTTCTTTGCACAGTGTCTTTGTGGTTGTATCTCATAGCCCAGGGCAAATAAACATCACTGATTTCCAACACAAAGATCGCGTCTCTGCTTTTTCTTTGACTTCTGCTGTTTGTTGTGTTTGTGTTGCCGATGTTGCCGCTCACCTTTGTTCTGACACTTTATTTCAAAAACTCGTTAAACTCCTGAAGTTCATCTGTTTTCGGTTATAAAACTCAGTCTCTCTAATTAGGGAGAACTGCAAAAGTCATGAAATATGAAAGATCTGAATGTGCTGTTCTTCTGCACTAAAGTTAACGAGCAGCGTAACCTCAGTGGTTTCAACTGACGCAGATCATCCGGTTCTGACATAAACGGTAATAACCAGACCAAAAAGCAGCGCACATTTCGGTGCTTTATTTCGGTGCTTTTTTTTCCTGAGCTGTGATACACTTTGGATTCTAGCCAATCATTTTACGTTTCTGAGGATAGTAGGCGGGCCACCTCTCAGGGCCACCGTAACCATACCGTACACAGATGTGGAAACCTCATGTAGGAAAAATGAGGTTGAACACCATCACAAAATTTGGATATGTTAACAAAAACTCGCCCGCTCTAAAAAGTATTTATTAAAATCTGACCTTACTAAGCCACACCCCCTTTGGTGATGTCACATAAAGTTGTTACAGAAATTACTTTAAATGTTATTGTAGTGATGTAGTCGACAGGTGATCGCACAGGCCGCCTGGTTGGAGGATTGCTTTGACGGCCTGGTGAAGGTTTGCAGACATAAAGAGAGTGATGCTGCTCTGTCAAAACGCACAGACCTTCAACTTGGAGGGATCCCAGGTCAGAAACCCTGCTGTGGAACTCTCTTCATTTTCCTGCTCATCTCCGGGGCTTTGTTGGTACTCCGGGACTTCTCTAGAATAGCTTTATATATTTATATATGGTTAGAATGATTGTGTGTAGGCGGGGCCAGCTGTTTGGTCGGTGACGGGCTTTCCCCTGAGAATCTTGGCTAGACGGAGCTCGGCGTTGCTTTGATCGGCTCCTGTTCTGTCGGACTCGAGCTCGTTTGCAAACACATGGTGTTATAGTTATTAGCACTGAGCTAGCCTAAAATGAACTGTACACCCCCCCGCAGATATACGAGGACTCCATCGTTCTTCAGTCTGTTTTCAAGAGCGCCAGACAGAAGATCGCCAAGGACGATGACAGCGATGACGACAGTGAGGAGGAGGAGGAGGACGACGACGATGACTCAGAGGCCGAGGGTGAGACGCACTTTGTGGCTACGCATACCAACACACACACACCAGAGACCTTTTCTTGTCTCATTGAAATTCTTCTCAGTGCAAACCCGGCGACCGCTGCTCGGGTTTTATATTCATCGCAGCGGGAGCCCCGTGCACTGCTGCTGACAGACGAAAGTGATGTTTTAGACATAGGAGTGAGTCATTATTAAGGGAGGACATTTATTGTGAAATGTTAAAAAGCATTTAAAACCACGAACTACAGCTGATGTGCAGTAATGACACCTGAGAGATTGAGTATCAACACAAATCCCTGACAGCCCTGCATTAGAAACGGCCTCCAGCATAAAAATCTACCATGTCAGCTAAACGTTCAACAAATAGTTTCGTTTCTAACATGTTTGGTTTAACAGGATGTCGTAGCTTTTATTCTCAAACATGCTGAAGGGAAGCGGTGCAAGACTGTTCACATTTCTCCCGTGTTTCAGCCAAGTCAGTGCGGGTAAAGATCAAGCTGAGCAGGGAGGCACGCGGCCACGACAAAGGCAAGAAGAGGCAGAGCCGAGGGAAGGCCAAGCCGGTGGTCAGCGACGACGACAGCGACGAGGACCAGGATGATAATGTAGGTTGTAAAATAATTGTACTTATGTTGCCGACACAGGTGGTTCAGGTCCATCAGCAGCTGTTGGCTGGCATTAAATCTTCTGTAGAATAAAAGGATAAAACTTGTAGTGTACTTATGTGAAACCAAATGAGCACATGCTAAAGCTTATGTAGATAATGACGTTCAGTTCGCTATATTTCCTGGTACTATCCGCCTTCTGCTGTTCAGCCTCCGCTTCACTCAGTAATGTGAAATTAAAGCTGTGCAGGCACCACGTCTGTGCCCACTATCAAATACACCTTGTATCCTCCCCTCTCCTCTTTCTTTCTGCTCCTTTGTCTGTTCTATGCGGGAATAAAACCACGATGAGGCCACATAAACGCCGTTCTGTGGTTACAAACTATAGAAGTTTCTCCTGAAGTTAGCTCGGTGTTAGCTCGGTACAGCAGCAGGAATAAGACGTAGCACATACAGGCAGCTTCAGCCACTCACACAGGGAAAAGCTTCAAAGTTTCATTGATCTTGTGGGATGAGATTTTGAAGATTTTAACTTCTTTGTAAATCGTCTGATGCAATCACACTCAAAGTCTTTGAAGACCATCTTCCAAATTCACTGTTTACTCGCGTCATATAGAGTGAGCTTCCCCTGGCTTTGGTCTCATATACCGACAGTCACAAAGCTCCGTGAAGCACCCTTTAATTCCTCGTCAGCTAGCACGTCTTTTATCTGCGTTGATGTGGCGTTTGCCGCTCATTTAAAAGCCAAATCGCACATCTAAAGACCCAAAGGACCATCAGAAGGATGTAAATGAGTCCTAAATATTTCTTAAACATGGTTTACGGAGCATGTTTGTGAAGCAGAGTGTAACAGGTGCATGTAGAAACCACACGTTTATATTCTCCATTTATTGTGCGATACTGTGAGAACGAGGCGATGTAGGACTTTCAGTTGATACCGTAGGTGAACGTACTAAAAATCTTGAATTAGTTTGAATCCCAGTGACCTTGACTTCAAGGTCAGAGGTCAACTTTTATACCATGGGTGCATCTACTGGGAGGCCGGGGGTGGCCCTGGCACCTCACTGCTGCCAGCTAAACCTGATTGACTTACCCTGGTCTGAAGTTTATTTTATTTTCATCTGTCTTTTTCCATAAATAATGAAATAATAATGGATTGCATTTATATAGCACTTTTCAGGGCCCTCAAAGCGCTACAATTCACTATTCATTCACTCTCACATTCACACACTGGTGGAGGCAGCTACAGTTGTAGCCACAGCTGCCCTGGAGCAGACTGACAGAGGCGAGGCTGCCATATCGCGCCATCGGCCCCTCTGGCCAACACCAGTAGGCGGTAGGTGAAGTGTCTTGCCCAAGGACACAACGACCGAGACTGTCCGAGCCGGGGCTCGAACCGGCAACCTTCCGTTACAAGACGAACTCCCAACTCTTTGAGCCACGATCGCCCTGTAAAGTCATCAAACTACAGCCAAAATGTTACTGATGCTGGAACTAAGCGAGCAGTGTTTTCCTGGGCTCACACGACAGTCGTCACTGAGTCAGGCGCGTTTCATCTAACAAGTTGATTCTTCACAACAATTATTTGACATTTTTATTTTTTAATCATGGACATCATTAGGCTGATATTGTGTGGTCTCAACCCGACATAAAGGAAGTTCGTGGGTCGCTCTGTAGGATCCGAGGAACGTTTCCATCAGCAGCCAGTTGAAACGCAGTATAAGGGACTCTGCATTATTCATTACGTGTGGCTCCACGTTCACTTACAGTCAGTAAGAGTTGGCTGAGGAATGCTGATTTTATGTGAACAGCTTCAGAGAACAGACGAGTGTCGCAGGAAATCTGACCAAGTTTTAGTGAATAAAAATGCAGCTTTTTATTACAAACATCATGAAAGCCTTTAAATCTGTCTCACTGGATCTGCACGACTGTTTTCAATCCAGCTTAAGAGCAACAACGTTGGGTTTTAACGTGATTACATGTCAGCGTTTGCACCACCTTCATATTATACATGCCTCAGTGCAGTGCTTCTCCATCATTTTCTGTATTTTTCAGCGTAAGTGAGCAGCTTACCTTTGTCCAGGTGTTGCATCAGTGTTTGTATTTATGATGCTGAGTGTTTGAGTGTCTTATGTTGGCTGAGCTCGGAGCCTTCACGTTACTCCGTGAATATGAATGCAGCGATTTCATCAGCTGTCTGCCGGCCGTGGTGGGAGCACACTCTGCCCTGACGGAGTCTGTTCAAAGGACCGCCTTGTCTGACTCGCCTCACTCCTTCACTGCTCTCCTCGTTAGCCTCAGAACAGGGGAAGACGTGAAGACCGCCCGTCCCACCTCTTTTTCCTCCGGAGAGCTTTCTTATTTCAACGTTGTTGTGTTGCGACAGGCCGCTCTGCCTCTCGTTGCTGCTTCGCTGCATCCTCTTCCTCATTCTTAACACTCTTCTTCTCTTTGTCTCTGCAGGATCAATCAGACAAGAGCAAAAGTGATGACGAGTGACGAAGGAGAAGCAAGGGCGCGAGGATATTGTTTACAGCACTTAGAAACAAAGGACAATATCTTCCATTGCTGTTGTTCAGGTTCATGTTCCTTAAACTTTGCTCCGTGTCTTCTGTGTGTGTCTGTAGGGTGTGTTCTCATCTCCCACCAGCTTAGAAATGTATTACTTACAATCGATAGCATACAGCAATACCAATCAGCTTATATTTCTCTTTTTAAGACAATTTTGTAGTATATTTTTTAACTACGTGCTTTAACAAAACACAAAATGTACAAAAAAGAAAAACACACATTGGTCATCCTATTTGCGCTTTTGCTTTGTTTGTAATCGCTTGCTTGCACTTTAAAAAAAACCTTCAGTATCCTGATTTTTAAAAAGTCAAGTAAAACAAAAATATGTATCACCAGTGAAATCAAAGCTAATTTGGAGAAATGGCAGTCAGTTTTTTAAGTTTTGGATTCATTGTTTTTAACGTGTGCCGTGCCAAATGTAGACAAACTGACCGTTAGCTTAACCCCTCCCACACGCAGCATCTGTCCAATCACAGCTAGGCTTTTTTAAGCTTGTATGAAATAAATATAAAAGTAAGTAAAAGATTTAATAGTTATCTGCCTCAGTGTGTAGATTAAACACGCTGTCAGCGTGTTTAAAGAAGCTAACACCTGCTAACTGGCCCAGGCTGAGGTGGGGTGAGTGGACACGTGTAAAGAGCCTGGTGGAAGACTGAGTCATTCGCTGGACAGCGTTTGGAACAGTCTGTGTCGTGTGTTGTAGCTCATGTGGACAAGTCCACAGTCCAGTCCAAGTCCTCAAACTGTTGAAAGCTGGGCTCACGTCTGTGTTAGCATGTAGACCACAGTCTGTTTGTCACAGATGAGTCCACAGTTACGACACTTTCTCTCAGAACTGTAAAGGATGCAGTGGAGAAACCCAAAGTTCACTTCTGCTGTTCATCGTAGAACAATCCAGTTAAATCTCGTGGTTTAGTCTAGAAATGGGCAGAAGTGTCAGGCAATGAAGGCTTTCTCTGTTTGTCGTGGACCAACGTGGGTTAGGGTTCTTTCACCTGCCCCAGGGAGCGCTTGCATCTTAAAGGAGGAGAACTCCCGCAGGACTCACATTGAGGCAAACTTTTCTTGACAAGTGGCAAAATGAGAGATGTTGATTTCATTGTGGTGCAGACAGCCCACAGCCACTTTGACCTGGTAGAGGCCACTAACTACTTTAATCCAGCGTCTCCCTCGGGCTGCACATCAGTCTGTGGAGATGCACTTTTGTCTCTTATCTGGGACTTCCTCGAACTCAATTATCTCTTCAGCCTCTTTATCTTTCCTCACGTGCACATCCTCGCTGTTATTACCATCAGTGACTGAGGGCTCTGTAAATGTGATATGTCAGCTCAGTCTCAGTCCTGCAGCAGCGGCCGGCTCGCTGAGTAGCACAGCGTACTGCTGCAACATCAGGAACAGCTGTGCGCTTCATCAAACATTCACACACACCTGATTACTTATTTACCTACAGTAACAGGACATTATATAGATCACAGGCATTTTAGTCATCACAAATGTACATATTAATCAGCCTCTGAGCCTGACACTAAGGCACGCAGACCCTCACGATCAAATCTCTTTGTGTTCTGTCATTACGTTACAGTTCACACAAGGCCTGTTCTCTGCTTTCTGCTCCATCAGCCCCACCTTAAAGCTTCCTCCTGCTCTCTCCCAAAGCAGCATGTCGGCTGCTGTCCTCCACCTCCTGCTCTCCTACATCTCGCTCTTCATTAGCTACAGCTGCCTCCTTTCTGTCACCTCCCACAGAAACTGTGGAAATATGAAAACAGAGACTGTAACACTGGGCCAATTATTAGCGTGTGTTTCCTTTGGCCTGTAGGTACTCTGTTGTGCTGTTACCGTTGGTCCAGCATGTCTTTGAACCTCCTTAGGAGCGGGCTTTTTGAGTCTTTGGAACTAACAGAATTGTTTTCATTGGTTTGAACAGTCGATAAATGCTGAGCAGCTGCTGATAGATGTCTTTGTAGCTGTGTGGTGTGAGGGGTTCCCTGAACAGTCTCACAGTGTCACTGCCCTTACTGTTTGGCCCCGTCATCACTTTACAACAGTGATTCACTGTTAGGTTCCCATTGCTGCAGGGCAGAACACGCTCTACTGCATGCTGCAAACAAGCAATCTGTCCGTACTTTGAAGAAGAAAGTACTTTTAGAAGAACATGATTTGGTTGCATGTGGGCTCTGTAAGGGAAAGCCAACACATAACCACTAAACAGCAACTTACAGAGCAGTTTTGCTGTTAGCCCAGCAGTTACAGCCACACTGAGTGACTGTGACTGTTAGACTGAGTGAGTAGTGTAAATTTCACGATATGTTTAGACTGTTTGGACATTAGAAGACTAACTGCTTCCTCTGATTCTCCCTGGAGACCTGATGCCATGTTATCAGTTTGCAGAGATACAAATGGCGTTCTTAGCTTCTGAAGTGCTCAGCTGTGTCCCTGCATCACCTTCATCAAACTGTTCACACGTTTAGTTAAAGATCGGCACCTTGTTCATGAGTAGAGCCTGCCTGCACATTGAGATATAGACTCTCTGCATCAGCTTTTGGTTTTTAAAAGGGAACATTTGTTTCTTTCAAGGTATTTAAAATCATCCTGTAGATATTTCTAAATACCTGGGATGTTATAATACTGTGATATCACCAAGGCCTCCTGTACAGAGACGCCATGTCCCTGCTGTAACTTAAATATCCAAACAAAATAAAAACGCTCTTTAAATACTCGCTAAGAACTTTTTGGATTAGCTGGCGGGAGCAGAGCTGTACTCGTGTGTCTATGCGTTCACCTCATGTCGAAGCTTTACAGTTGCAGTAACGGTAACAGGAGGGCGGGGCTTAGCAGACGGTCAGCAACGCGATTACACGATTGTGAAAGCACAGGCAGATAAAAACGTGCGTCTGTAGCTGACAGATGAACTTGACACAGCCAGAAATGTCCGACGCTTTTTTAACCGCTTCTAGTAAGACAAATATAATCGCACATGATTAGGGAGGTGCACGTGGTTCATGTGTCCTTCCTCTGATGTTTTTAACATTTTCTGTATCACAGCGTTGTCGCATTAATTTTCTCGTTTTGTTGGAGTTATTTTCTACGTAGAAAGCTCGTGTCAGACAGCGGGTTCACGGGGAAACATCTCACTTCGGGGAATGAAACCAGATTCTGTCGTAGCGCTAAATGTAGCGTCTGAATACATGTTACAGTCGTTTTGCAAAAAAATAGAAAATGAAATCATAAAAATCTGAAAAATAAGTGTAACAAACCGAGTCTGACGGGTTGTGACGGCCTGAATTACTACAAAGAAAACAGTATTATGAGATTAATGAGACGTGTCGGTTTGTTTCAGGTGTTCGTGTTCCTTGTGAATTAGTTCTAAACCCTCATTTTATTGTTTATGTGTTATTTGTAGCATGCACTCTTGACAGTATACCGTGCACATGCAGATATATCATTTTTGTGTAATATGTGCTTGCCGATTCTCCGTAAGTGTGACTTAATCTTTGCTTTCTTTGCACAGTGTCTTTGTGGTTGTATCTCATAGCCCAGGGCAAATAAACATCACTGATTTCCAACACAAAGATCGCGTCTCTGCTTTTTCTTTGACTTCTGCTGTTTGTTGTGTTTGTGTTGCCGATGTTGCCGCTCACCTTTGTTCTGACACTTTATTTCAAAAACTCGTTAAACTCCTGAAGTTCATCTGTTTTCGGTTATAAAACTCAGTCTCTCTAATTAGGGAGAACTGCAAAAGTCATGAAATATGAAAGATCTGAATGTGCTGTTCTTCTGCACTAAAGTTAACGAGCAGCGTAACCTCAGTGGTTTCAACTGACGCAGATCATCCGGTTCTGACATAAACGGTAATAACCAGACCAAAAAGCAGCGCACATTTCGGTGCTTTATTTCGGTGCTTTTTTTTCCTGAGCTGTGATGCACTTTAGATTCTAGCCAATCATTTTACGTTTCCGAGGATAGTAGGCGGGCCAGGTACGTACGTTCTTTTAGAGCAGAGCTACAGATTAAAAATGCCCAAGGTGAAGCGGTCAAAGTCTGGCTGTACTTCACAGCAAAAGATGCAAACTCAGCAGCAACAAGTGCTTTAAGCTGATACTGTGATACTGTCAAAGGAGGTAACACCTCGAATCTGATGAAACACCTGGCGACGCATAGCGTTTTTTTAAAAGCCGAGAAATGCGCCGTATTTGATAGCTTGCTGCGAGACCTCACACCGAGCACATCTACTGCGGGTGTGGTGCCTGTTATCGGACCCGGAGTTAGCAACATCCCCCAAAAACCCGAAGAGGAGAGTCCTGGCCCCTAGCCCTGCCAGTGTAGCAGAAATGATGAGGATGATGATGCAGCAGCAGCCGTTCTTCTCTGCGTGAGTAGCTTAATGTTGTTCGTTGAGTAGGCTAACCACGTTATTACATTAATGCATGTAAGGTGAACTAGCAAACATCATCATAGCTACATGCGGCTGTCTTCTTGTTTGATGGCAGATACTCCCTTCACCCTGGCCAAAAAGGCTAAAATGACCAAAGAAAAAGTGGAAAACAGCTAAACATGAGAGGTTTTTGGACAAAGTTTGTGTTTTTTCCATTGTTTAAGCACTGCTTCCAGCCAAGAGTGATGCCATATATGCCCCATAGCTGCAGAAAAGGCTAACATTGTTATCTTTTTACAAAAAAACAGCTGAACATGAGAGGTTTTTGGACCAATTTTGTGTTCTCCATTCTTTAAGCACCGGTTTGAGCACCGTTTAAGCACCGGCACCGTTTCAAAAGTACCCATCCCTACTACTGATGAGGAATGTTTCAGAAGATTTTTATTTCAAAGCTTTAATGCTGACAGGACGTACTCTGCACAAATAAAAGAAAAACCTCAAAATGTTTGCTTGTTTTTCAAAATTGCTTCAATTTATGTCACATTGAGCTCCCAGCCTGATGGAAGGCAGGGTCCAGCAGCTGCCCCACGTCTGTTTAGCCTGAGAGGTCAAAGGCATCAGCAGTAAATAGAAAATACTTTAAAATACAACAGGAGTGTTTTTGGGGAAACAGCTGTGGCTGTGAGGGCTTAGCAGTAAACAGCTAATAGGAAACGTCATCTACAGTATTACATGAACGTCTCCGTGCGCGTTCCTTCACAACGCTCCTCCCTTTTTTTTTCTTTTTCTTTTTTGAGCTTTTGCTGCATTTTGTTATTTGTTGGTGTTTTCATAGGTTAGAATGCGTTTGACCTCTCAGGGCCACCGTAACCATACCGTACACAGATGTGGAAACCTCATGTAGGAAACATGAGGTTGAACACCATCACAAAACTTGGATATGTTAACAAAAACCTGCCCGCTCTAAAAAGTATTTATTAAAATCTGACCTTACTAAGCCACACCCCCTTTGGTGATGTCACATAAAGTTGTTACAGAAATG